CTTATTCCCAAACTTTAAATGAAATAATGAATATCAGAAATTTTCATATACAGATAGAAAGTGAATTGCGGGTTCCATCTGTTGCTCTGTCTTTTGAACCTAAAAAATAGCATATTTGTATCTGCAACAAAACAAACTGTACACACATATCACGTAAAACACAAGAGATGACCACACAGCCGCAACAGCAGCGTTTTATCGGCGACATGGAAAGCCAGGATCAGTCTTGCTGACACCGGCCCGGCTAGGAGGTCACAACAACGGCAACAAATCGCAGCGTGCTAAGCAACCAGGATGAACATCAAAGCGGTTGCTGTAACTTGGCTGTGACCAAATAAACCTTGCAACTCAACATTGTGACGATCCATTCTCGTCCTGAAATGAAGCAATTTCGACTTCGGGCAAGACAAATCCCCAGCTCTGACAGGATCCAACGTTTGTCATCAATCCCGGCACAAGATTTGAGCATCTGGTAAGCACGCGTGCAAGGGGCCTTCAAGGCTGGAAGCCGCATCGCCTACTGCATCGCCAGCACACCACGGCAGGCCATACGCGAAGCACTCAGAGAGTGGCTGTGAGTGGGAGAAGATGTTGCCTCCAGTAGCCACTGCCTCCGTGGAGCTGGAAGCATCCTCGCCTACGCAACACAACAAGTTGTGCATGAAACGGACACGACATACACTGATCAAGACTACAGTATCTAATGAAGCGTGGATCACTCAACTAATGTATTCGGTACGCGTGCCGGTGGCTTCTGTGGCTGGACGTCAGTCACATCACCTGCGCACCACGGCAAGCCATGCCCGAAGCACGCGGAGACTGACACCGGAGTGGGAGAAGAAACTACCTCCGACAGACGGCTCAGTTCAGAAGGCACGTGCGCACCAGAGAACGTTTGCTTCCAATGAGGTTTGGGAGTGCCGCCGCGGAGCATCACGGCAGCAAACATATCCATACAAGAAGTGTTGGCCAGACCATCATCAATAACCCTTGCTGCAAGCACAACTCTACCTGCACGTTGTCAGCAGAGATAAGAGCCACGCGAACTGAAGCAGCAAACAACAAGCTCCAATGGGACGTGAGCAAAAGTATCTTGAAGGGCCTTTGGCCTAAAGATGTCGTTACTCTTTTTTTCCATATATTCGTTTGAAAGGTACTAGATATCCAATTTTTCATTTCAATATCGATCCGACCAACTGCTCTACAATAATAGCTAACCGATACGAAAAGGATCTCAGCAAAAGAAGCAGACTAAGCATCCCAGGCTAGACTGATCAAAACTAATGAATAAATAGCCTTCCTTCAAGTTCTCAAGTATCAGCCAACACAACTGAACTTCGAAAAGATCAAATCATGTTGAACATATAAAACTAAATAGACTGATCTCATCACAGACATCTGACAATACAAGGGCATGAGCAGTTACTTTCGTTTTCCTGCCGAACCTTGCGGCCACGAAAATTCTTGGACCTTGTCCAGGTGAAAACTCACGAGTACAGGAAAGAGGAAACAGTAGTGAAGGAACGGATTAGCCGCTGCATGCAAAGGCAAGGCCATGTGATGTCAGCTCCAACAAGTTGCAGCCAGCTTGGTTGCCAAATAACTTGTTCTGCTTAAGAAGCCATTGCTTACGCGCAGCTGCTTTCGTTGGTGCTTCACTTTCATGGCCCTCTCGCATTGCTGCTAACGTTGCCTGCGCCTACGCCTTCTCCGCCTGCCTACATGACACTGCTACAGTACGGGTCCTCACCACCTGTGCACAGTGCACGAAATGTGCATCTACTGCGGCAGGATGTTCATCTTCTCCTCCTTCAGATCCTGCGTTTGTGACTTGCCAAAGCATCTGACAGCTTTGAAATCAGTGCAAGTCCTTCAGCTCGGGCTCTCCCTCCGAATATGTCAGGGAGAGCCCGTTGGCTCAGTGTCGCTCGCCATTCGGGTTGGCCTTGCAGCAAAAACACAAGGCCTTCTTTGACAAAGCCCTAGAGGTAGCATTCCGAACGGGGCCATGCAACTCAGAACAGCCGGGAAAGCGAGCCGAGCAACAAAACAACCAAGCCCTGAACCACAAAACCTCCAAACCCTCAACCCAGCATCCGCAAACCTCAAACACAAAGCTCTAAAACGAATGAGAACCAACCGAACCAGGAAGCAACATAAAGCCGGACTATCACTTGAGGGTTTGGGTACAACCGCGACAAGCGCGAACCGAACCAAGACGGATTCATGGGACAAACCTGGACTTTGGGTTTTGCTGATTTGTACTGTGGGCTCATCCCTTAGCCTACTGGCAGGGTCATTGGTAATTGGGGTTTAGAGTTGGGGGGTCTTTTGTCTAAGCTTTGGGCTAACATGGAATCTGCTCCCTGGTGCCGGGAGACGAACTTCCCGCCTCTGTAACGCTGTCGTAGAAGACGTGTCCCAGGTGGGAGCCGCAACGTGTGCACACGATCTCCAGCGCGCCGCTCCCATCTGGTTGCCCCACCACATGCTGGCCAAGATCCTCCGAGGAGTAGCCTTATGATGTACACCAAGGTCATTCAAAGGAGGCTGCAGTATCAGTATCACTCCGAAGGTAGTGCAAAGACATGGTGATTCCGAGTGTGTCTCGCAGTGCAGTTCACAAGATCTGTTTAAGATGCCCAGTGGAAGCATGTTTTCCGTAAGATCGCCGCATTTGTCAAACACCGGCCACCCGCAGGTTGATGCCTCAGCAATGACGAGCCCACTGGCAGCATTAATGACGAAATTGATTCGTGTGCCGTCTTCGACCATTGCCTGTTGCTGTGACTGTGGTAGAACTTGCATGGCTCGAGCGTGGGGCAAACGAGCCATCATGAAGCACATCCCGCACAGATGAGCTAAGCCGCGAATTTGGAGGAGGCGGAGTACAGCGGAAGGCCACAGCCCGCGCAGGAGAAGTGGCCAGCCTGACTCAAGCATGCGTACTTCTGACTTCAGGGGTAGTCGCACGTGGCCAAGCTTATAGTATCGGAGCTTCTGGTTACGCCTCACAGATTTAGCGGCAGTACATTGTAGTCAGCATTGGAACGCCTTCCCTTCAAACAGGCTTTCACATCCCATGACCTTCCCGACTTGGTGGCTCTCGTCACAGCCGCGAGAGCAGAATCACAAATTGCTTGTCTTTGTCTGTGCTTCTCTCAAGTCTGCGCCCAAATGGACCTGGAAACCCTTGGGGGCCTCTGGCAAGAACTTGTCGTACTTGTGTGACCCAGGGCGTTCGGTGCCTCGACCCGAAGAAGGACAGCAGCTCTTTGATCTCAGACTGCTCGGGAGCTCAAGGCCTCGTCGGCGGAGGATGCGGAACTTCTCTGTGCCGAGCTCCGACTGCCACTCCTCACACAGATGTAAGAGTCAGAAGTCTGAAGATGAGGTCCGGGCATCAAAGGTTCAGACAGCATCGCACAAGGGAGCCGAACGCCTCGTCGCTCTTCTGGAGCTGGAACGAGACTGCACCGGTGACTTTGTCTTTGTAGGTTTCCATGGCTTCATCTGCGCAGAAAAGAAGGCTGGACACGTCTGAGGCTTGGTGAAGTGGGGGCTATACGACTAATCCTGTGCTGCGACAGCAGGTGCCTACCATCGTCTTCAACGAGCCGTCTGCGGCAAGCTTCTCGGTATCTGTGCCTCGCAAGACAGGCTCATGCTTTCCTTCTTTAAGTGAAAATGACCATGTTCCAAGACATCAGCATCACCGACTGATTTCGAGAACATAAGCTCCTTTAGGATGCGAAGCTCCTGACACGACCGTTAGCATCTACCGTAGGTCACTAGGTGGGAAGGGAACTAATATCCCAGGTGCTGAAGCGATTTTTGGAAATCCTGTCGGGCGGCCCCAGGAACGGAACGTGAACCAGAAAGCCCAGCAAAGCCGAGGTACCTCCACCAATGCATTTACCACCCACGAAGACGCGGGGTACCGTCCGCGCTCCAGTGATTCCGAGCAAGATGTCTTGAATCTGCGGCGTGCTGTCTTCCCACTCCAAGCATGCTGGCAGAATATTCACACTGCAGACGGTACTCTGCAAACTTGGAAACAGCAGTGAAGGCACGCAGCCCGATCCAAACCTGAACGAAGCCGTGGACTGACCGTGGCAACCGGTAAAGCCGGGGGGGGGTTAGATGCATTGCCTCTGCCTCGACTTCTTCACCAAGGGTGTCCAACTCACCTAGCCACTCAGAGGAGAATGCAGACATGTGCAAAACAACACTAGGCTTCATTTGGCCAGCCTTCTGTGGATTCAGTGAATGCTGACACGTGGCATGTAGCAAAGCGAATGCCCTGCTGCTTCATCGCCTCCTGCATCTGCTTCTCTGATCATGCAACATGCCAACTGCAAGTTCGTGCAGCGAGCAGAGCACTGTGAGCAGGGCCCATCAGATCACCCCGCCTTCGCCTTGGTGCAGAAGGGGCACCACGACTTGGAGAAGAGCATCACGGGCTGCAAAGCCACCATCTCCTGCCGGAGAAGGGGGGCTCAACGAGGGCTTTCACAAGGACACCAAAGTTGGAAATCAGACGCCGTTGTGACTGGAAGGCAAAGCTCCAATGGTCTCGGCCTCCACCTTCGTCTGGAGGTATGCGCTGGCCTCTTTCCCAGACACGCCGACGCTTGTTCTGCCCAACACTTCCGCTCACTTTTTGGAGACAGCCTTCCTCTGCTAGAGGGTGAGTTCGCAATCACCCCTCACGACTGCGCTTTCGGAGGCCTGGACCGTTTTGGCTGCCATTGTGACGTGCCGCGCCCGCAAGTTGCTGCGAAGGGTTGTGCCCCTAGCAGCGGAAAAAGCCTGAGCAACATCCCCCAGTACTCCGTCTTCTGTCCCCAGCCAGCTTTGCTGAGCACTGAGCGGTGACCGCAGACACGACTGCAGCAGCCGAACCGGAAAAGTTCAAGCCTTCGAAAGGTCGCTTGGGAAGTATCGCTCTGGGGCCATGGTCGGATATCTAGTCTTTTGAAGGACCTTCAACAGCTACCCAAGCGAAGTGCTTGACTCTTAGTCCCCCCATGTGGCCCTGGCACATGACAAAATGCCCGGCGACAAGCTTCAGGCCAACAGCTTGCCAGGACAAACACCCCCAGAACTAGCTCCATGAGCCCCAACTTTTTTCTGCATGCGCCAGTTGAACGATTCTAAACGCAGGAAGTTCATAATCTGGAACCGTGTGCGTGGTGCTGGCCGGAGCCCCTGTAGCAAAAGGCGACAGCCTCGCGTAGCGGCTAGACGGTCGCCTGTTGCATGCGGGGGCCGAAGGAGTTGCAGCGTCCCCAGCATATCCCTGCATAAGCATTTGCGGCGGGCACTCAGGCAAGTAGTTTCTGCTGGACTCTGTCCGATGTCTGAAACCACTCTTCTCCAGGATGTGTCTGCCTGAACCAGCAAACGAGGCAAATATAGGAGTTAAGAGAGGGTGATTGGTGTTGCAGGCAACAGACTCACAGAAAGTCAACATGCGCTGAATGCTTTACTGCCCTCTCCCTCTTTGCGACTGCATGTGCGCTTTCTGATTCAAGTCAAGGTGCTGCTGCTGAAGCACCTCCTTTTCAACATCGTATCCCCGCAGCTTGATGCCCTGCTTCATGGCCTCAAGCTTCGTTTCGCGCACTGCCTTCTGGGCCTTTCCATTCTGCTGAAAGCCGTTCTTGGGCAATCCAGCGTGGAAGCCTTGTGAGGCATACGTAGACTGCGCGGGCACCACGTCGATGGCGCAAGCCTCGCCTTCAAGGATGTGGATACGTGGATTTGATGTGTCTACACATTGACTGCCAAAGCGCTCGTCCAGGCATCCTGTTAGCTTCTCGCGATCCTTCGTTGTCATGGGTTGGTTCCCCAGCAACACCACTTTCAAGTCCAGGTCGGAACCGGCCAGGTTCGTGCGCTTGTGGCGCGAGCCACCCTTCTCCACCCTCGCCTGCGGCCCACATGCCTCTTTCACAGCCGCCTCGACCTTACGTGTGTCTCGGCCGATAGCTGAAGCTGTGGCACGGGTCTCATGGACACGTCGGTTGAGCTCGGCTTCGCGTTGGCCTGCTTCGCGCCTCTGATCAATGACCTGTTGAAAATCTGCTGGCCGTGATGCATGTCCTCGGGATTGCCAGTACGCCGGATGGTTCGGGTTCTTCTGGTTCTTCCGCAAGTTGTCAGCAGCCATTGATGGGCTCGGTGCAGCCTTCTTCGACATGCTGAGGAGGGATGCTTGGCACTGTCACAACTTCGAGCCAAGCTGCAGGACACATGTGGACACTGCAAGACCAAACGCTATCGAATTAACTGTGAAGGAACTTCTGACCGGTCATGAGGCCAGCAAGTTGCTCTGGGTTGCGGCGCGTGCTCCCGTGGATCGCCTAAAGTGCAGCGGTATCCGAAATGCAGCAGTCTCCCATCTGCCTTGTGGCTTGGATGCCGATGGGCGGCTCGCTCGCAAAGTTTCAAAAGATCTCAGAGCACCGTCGTGAACACGGACTGCACTCAAGCCGAGCATGCCCGGGCGAGCCATGTCCGCCGCCTGCCAAGACACAGCAGACAGGAGGGATCAGACGGGAGGGGGGGGGGCATTATTGGGAAGTCAACAGGAGGAGGAGGAGGAGTAGTAGTAGTAGTCGTCGTCGTAGCAGCAGCAGCATTGGCAGTAGCAGGTAGCAGGTAGCAGTAGCTGTTGGCGGTAGCTCAGCAGCAGTTAGCAGTAATTGTCCTACATTCAAAAGCCCGCTGCTGGAAGACGGGCCTTCCACGAACTTTACGAATGCGTTGGCAGTTGAGCCCAAATGAGCAAGACAAGCAAATCAGGTCCCGCAAATACAAGCCATCTTCTCGCAGATGCGAACAGACGCCAAACAAGAAAAATCTTTTTAAGCGATGGAGCCTTGATGCAATCAAGCCTCGTGAAACATCCTCATGATCTACAGCAACTCGCTACTACGATGGCAGCGGCTGTTCTCGTTCCTGTTGCGCCGCGACCGCCGCAATGAGCGAGAAGATCCAGGCGGAGCTAGAGCTGACCAAAGGAGCAACCGACCAAGTCCATGGAGGTGGAGCCTTGGGACGCTTGGGTCGCAGTTCTGCCACCTTCCGGCAGATCTGAAAATCTCACTGGCATCTTCTTCAGGGACCGGCAAAGAAGATGAAGGTCACTTGGGAGCCTTATTTGTCACCGGAAGAAATCGACGGCATGATCCCTTCTTCTGCAGCACAGTGTGGGCTGCGGTGCCTGACCTGTTCAATCAGCCACGCCCCATTGTCATCAAGAAGCCGTGCCCTGCCATGCCACTCTTGAAGAGCCAATTCGAGTCTCCAGCCGGCAAGACATTAAGCTTCAAACGAGGCTGGCACGACCAGCCCTTCACAAATTTGAGCTTGTCCGTGCCCCTGCGTTTAACATCTTGGTCAGGCCAGACAGTCGATGAACAAAGCCAAGCACCTAAGGGCGTTACTCCAAATGCCGAGCTAGGCCAACAGATGTCATCTAAGAACTCGTAAAGACTTTCACAGCTGAATCGTTCCTTTGCCGCCACTCGCTGTGGATGTAGCTTCTCTCGACTCATGCTCATGGATAGATCCACTACGATCCGAACTGTGGCTGGGATCAAGATTGTAAAGTCTGAATCTGCCCGGCTCAATCTCATGGTGCCAAACCTCTGCATTCCAAGCGGAAGGAACTCCACACCTAATGGGGTTTCTGAACCAGGCGAATGGAACGGTGTGCAACACAACTTAACGGCTGGCAGCTTGGGCGGCTATCTCGTTAACGAGGGAGATGACTAAGCAAGCCTGATCTCCACCATCCGCTGCTGCGGCAGCATCGACAGGATCGTGACCATCTCGACAAAAACAGATGCTGACAAAATCTAATACGAGCAGGCAACCGGGGCGAAGGCCCTCCGGTCGTTGTTTGGACCCCGACAGGTCCTGGCAAAGCCCATGCAGACCCATTCCTGCCCCCTTCGCTTGAGGCTTAGTGCACAGCAACGATGCACCCAGTCACACCCATCATCAACAGCATTACCGTTACCAGTATCATCGTGACTTTGCAGCTGTGTTGGTGCAAACAGAGCGTCGCAAGCCGTGCAAATCATGCTGACGTGTCATTTCGTTGACCCATTCTGCTCCACCAGGATCTCGATACAGGTCAACGCGATCTACCGCACCGGTGAAGACCTTGGTGCATCGAACACTCAGGCACGGCGCAGTGCAACTGAACAACTTCGACAGGTATCCCATGCTGAGTGCTGAACCCAATTTTCGCCTGGCTTCGGAAGGGTGCCTATGCATCCAGAGGAAAGGCTTCCTGAGACCTTCCACACGGTTGGAATTCGACTGCCTTGGCAGGCCGCTGCTCCAGGCGCGGTTGGGGCACTCATCCAGTTGCTAAGGGTCCTGGACCAGCACGCGGATGCGGATATATGCTGAAGTTAACCCAATTGTAGTAGAATGGGCCCCAAAACCCTATTCTAACTATTGAAGCCCCTATAGTACTTAACTCCCCACCTATTTTCAGCACGCGCTTCCTTGCAAAAGCGGGTCCGAAGGTCGTCGTTGGAAGGTTTGACTTCCGCGACGGCTGTGGGACCATGGCTGGGGCCGACTGCTTCCTGGAGAACTGCATCCGACTAGTAGTGGTGGTAGTGGTAGTAGTAGTGGTAGCAGTAGTAGTGGTAGTAGTGGTAGTAATAGAAGTAGTAGTAGTAGCAGTAGCAGTAGGAGTAGGAGTAGGAGTGGGAGTGGGAGTAGGAGTAGGAGTAGGAGTAGGAGTAGTAGCAGAACCTGGACCCTCAGAGTATGTAGATTAAATAGCCTTTTATGGGTATTGGGCCATTATGTTACCTACTTTGGGGGGTTTAGGTGGTGACTGTCAACTTCGTGAATGAGGAAGCGGCGCCGAGGTTGGCGAGTCGTCACAGAAGTCAAACAAGTCCATAGGCCTGAATTGCTTCGAACCCTGTGAGGTGCTGCTTTGTGAGCTAAAGAAGCTGCTTAGTCTCCAGCTTCGACTGCGTCTCCACAGGCCCACTGTCAGGCAGATCCGGCTCAACAGCATCCTCACCAACTCTTTACTGCCAGGATGAACCAAGAAAGCTCAATACGGAGCATTTCGGAGCATCGTGTCGGGGTCCGGGCTTCCACGATCTCCGCAGGCGGGAGCTGAAAGGCGCGCTGCTGCAAAGCGTCCGTAAAGACCTCCCAGGGAGCCCAAGCAGCACTTTCAAAGGCCGCGTTCAGCTGACATCGCTTCCACGACCTCTACTTTTCAAGGCCTCTGAGTTGACTGCTGTGCTTCCTTCTGGGCTGGCTTTCCAGAATACGTACAGAGAGTGATAAGTGTCTTATCTACTTCGGACAGCGCACGTGTGTGTGTGCGCGCACGTTTGTGCGGGAGAGAGAGAGAGAGAGAGAGAGAGAGAGAGAGAGAGAGAGAGAGAGAGAGAGCGCGCGAGAGCGCGCGAGAGCGAGAGCGAGAGCGAGAGCGAGAGCGGGAGTGAGTGAGTGAGTGAATGAGTGAGTGAGTATGTGAGAGACTCCTTGACTTTCATGTTGCCGCAGACTAGTACGCCACTAGGAACAGGTGGAACAAGTGCTTAGCCAACGACATGTTAGCCAAAACCTAGGACGTGTTGGTCTTGGCTCGCCCTCGGCCTGTGAGAGCGTCAGCCCTCTGCGTTGAGTTCCTGCTCTCCGATGACCCTTCGGAAGTACTCGCAAACATTCTAAGACGCAGGATGCCAGGGAGGAAGGGGTCTCCTGTCTTCAGCTTGTGCCACCCTTTGGCAGATTCCTTGATCAAGCGCCGCTGATCACAATGACATGCTGCGATGTCGACTGCATCGCAAAGTATAAGCTGTCAGCAAATTCCCCTCTGGTCTTGAAAATCCCCTCCTGAGCACAAGCATCGAGAACTGCCTTGGCATACTTTGCAAGGAAAGCTCTTTCGAGGAAGGGGCAGCGAAGCCCTCGCAAAGTCGAGAGATACTCAAAACCTGCCATGGATGAATCCAAGGTCTCAGCCTGCATGCAGTCAGCCCAGCGACGCCGTTTTGCAGCTAAAGGGCAAAGCAGCGGGCTGAGCTGTCGTTGGAAGTGATGAAATCGTAGGACCTCGTCAAGGCAGGCTTTCAAGCCTTGATGTAGAGGCTACCAATCAACGCTATCTATCTGCGAGATCACGACCTGTCAGCCGTCACCAACGAAAAACATAGCCATGGAGAGACCTGGCTGCCGTTGCGGTGCCGAATCCCAACCTGGCCAAACCCACGTCCTGCCCTGTGCCAGGCGCCTCTGGAAATAGTTTGCTGGCTCTGGCTTTCGGCCCATACTCAACCTTTTTGACCTCGGCATTTACGGTTCTGGTGCACTTGGATGAGCTTCGTACAGTCAGTGGCGAAGGAAGCACATGGACATGCTCAATCCCGGGGAATGCGCTGTTCGCAAGTCGAGCCATTTGGAGGTTGAGCCTTGTGCGCCAACTGTGATGGTATGTGCGACAAAATCAAATGCATGCGCGGTTGTCCGCCTGCTCCTGAGACGGCCCTTCGCCTACCAGCATCTCCGAACAACGCCCGGGGTCCGTGCCAAAGGCTTCATGTGCATGGCACCACTTGAGCACCAGCATGTGCGGGCAAACCTCACCGGCGAAGAGACCCTGCGATCTTTATGAAACCGTTACCACTGCAAGTGCAATCAGCAGATGAGAGGAGCACGGCCACGCGACGCACCTGATAGCCGCAATGTACAACAACAGTTCAATGGCCGTACAATGTTTTCGGTGCACGGAGTGCGCGGCCTCTGTCTTCCCATGTTTTTCCGTGACTTTGTTGATAACAAAGCCCTGTTCAGCATCACGCATCTCGCGCCTAGGCAGCAGCGATACATAAGAAGCTTAGCGCTGCAACACCGAGTCTGAGCCCAACACGCGATGTTTCTCTTCAATCTGCGCAGCAACCTACAATGCCAAAGGTTCAAAACACCGTGTGTAGCGCGACGTATCAACCTCTGAAGCCAGAATGCAGTCGATGAGCCTTGCATGCGCGGCATTCTTGGGAAGCGGTCTTCGCTTCGTCAATGCCTCCACCTACCAATATACAAGCCCAACTCTGAAGCGACGATTCCGCAGCTGGCAGCAGGCCTTCTTCTCAGCCTTCTCCGCTCGCCGTCTCCAAGCATCTCTCTCCCTGTGTGCAGCTCAATGGCGAGCCACGGCTGCGTAGCCGGGCGAAGAAAACCCGTGCTTTGTTCAACTTCACTCCAAGAAGCTGCTGCTCCACGACACTCTTCTGGTTGGTAACGACGACTGTTCTGAGCGTTTACGCCCTCTGTCGTCTATGTGGTTGCAACGGTTTCCAACGCTTGCCGGCAGTTCATCGGGCGCACCTCGTAGCATCATCAGAGCCCCTGTGGAGCCGTCGAAACGGAGAGTCGGACATCGTCTTAGCAGAATCCGTTCAAAGCAGCGCCTCGAACTGTCAGCCTTTGCCCGGAGGAGCTTGTTCTGTGCCAAAGCCTCGTTCGTGCTCCCCGCAAGCAGTCTCAGTCGTGACAGAAGACGACATGGACGGATGAAAAATGGAGTAATTGGAGTAATTGGAGTAATTGGAGTGTTTGATGAGACAGCCTGGTGAGTCTCGGGTCACCAAGGGAGACTCTAGGAACTTCTGGGCTCAACAAGTGGAGCCTACGTTTTGCAGGCTGGAGGATGCTGAAGGTCTGGCCCCCCCCCCCCCCCCAAATGCAGAGCATGAAGAGGGTTCCGCTCGTCATGCGATTATGCGATGATTTCTCTACAAAGGACAAAATCTGATCTCCCTCTAGTGCAAAGTAGAGGAACCAGCCGTGGCCCACTTCTAGTTCTTGATTGGTGGAAGAGACAGCATGAGAGTGCTTGCGCCTCCTCCAGCTGCTGCCTGACGGCTTTCAGCTCGTTTTTGGCGGCATCAGCAGCTCCCAAACCTCCAATGGAAACACACTTGCCCCTTTCCCTCGAAGCCATTGCTGCAAGAACAACGTCGAACCCTGTAACATCTTCTGCCAAGCTCTTGGTGGCTGTGTCAGCCGGTGTGTACATTTGGCCGAAATGTGCACTGTTTTTCGAGCAGGGCCTCTTGGCCACTGCGAGGGCCGCTGGCCGCTGGCAAAGCTTGGACAAGTGTTGTGCCCTTGAAAGATCCGCATTGTAAGCGACGAACCGACGGTGGACGGCCGACAACCACAGGAGCTATCTTCGGAGTTGCCAGCTGCCAGGAGTGCAGGTGTCTGGGAAGTAGATCCTGTAATCTAGACTTTGTTGGAGGAGTTCTGCATGTAACAACCCAATCAGTCTTTTAGGCATTCAGCACAAACCCAGGCCTATGGAAGCGGCCCAGCTGGGCGGAAGCTTGGGTTCGCCCTCCATCACTTGAAGTCCATTGCTCTTGGGGACGCCCGACTCAAGCACTGCTTCTCCTTTGGCTCATGTAGTGGTGCTTCAGCAATCAACTTCTGGAGGACATCCGTCGAACTCTCTACTTGCAAGGGGCTATGCAGTGCACGTGGATCCAAACTGGAGCTAGAGTGTGCTGGAGCAAAGAGCATATGTAGGTCTCTGCAATAACAACTTGATTCAATGCGAACAGCTGACAGCAGCTTGTCGCCGGACATCCCATGTGAGGGCAGACAATGGCTCAAAACGGTTTTTGTGATGCTGGTTCCGTGCCGAATTCCCAACTCAACTGTACAGGCTGGCCAGAACCAAGTCTCGCACGAGCAGAGGCAAATCGAAGATCGAAATAGCACATGGCAAGAGGTGAGAAGCGTTCTCCACATCACAATGCCCCTGGCTGCTTATCTCTACCTCCAACACGCTTGCCAGGCCCCTGCGAGATCTGCTGACCGCTGACATTGAAGACTTTGGCGTTTGTTGGAACACTTGCCGACCGATGTGAATTGACCCGAACCTTCGCCCTTGCCTTGTCAACCTCTGCGGCCTTCTCGGCTGTCATCGACTGGTAGCCCACATCCGTAACTTTCTTGGCAGTCGTGCCGCGCTGCTGGCGGTATGCTTCCGTTGTATCTTGAAGCCGGCTGCCACTTTCGCCAAGCGATGCCAAGGTGTGTATGTTGCTCCCCGGTCTCGGAGGCGCATTCGCAGGCGGCGGTTTCCCCCTCCCCTGCGAGATCGCACGCGCCCCGTGAGAGGCTCCGGCAGCTGGGCGTCCCAAGCCCGGGTGGCTCTTGGGACCCGAAGTCGGGCGCTTGCCCGGCTTCTCTGGGACCGGAACCGGCGCACCTCCGAAGGCACAAGAGTTCACCAGCTTCTCCAGGCGCTCCTCGCGGTCCAACAATGCCTTCCCTGGACGGCCGGATGCCCCTCCCAGGCGCTTTGCCATGGGATCCTAGGTGTCTACGGCCCAGGGCAGCCAAGGTCTGTACTAGCTATGGGTCTCTCAAAAACCTCGCCTAGAAACTATGGACAAGAGGCTAAGTTGTGTTTCCATGGGCCATGCCATGTGCCAGGTCCGAACAACACTGAAGCAAAAAGCCGCGAGGGCGAACGTTTTGACTTCCTGCACCTGCGCAAGATTATCCACTAGATCGAAATCGTAAGTCAGCTGCTGTAGGACGTGCATTTACCTGGTATGGCCAGCTGGTATAGTGCCTGAGAGACTTGGGAAGCACTGGTTTTGCAGCAGCCAGTCTCGCGCACTGTACAGGAAAGCACATCTGGCATGCGAAAAACACGTTCGCATGACTTGCAAGATGCGGTGCATGAGCCGTTCAGAGGGGAGTAGCACGAATAACTAGAAGTGTCAGACTCTTCAAAATGAGATGGCCCAGTCGTCAGACTCGGACCTTGCAGTCTCGGATTCAATGTCTGAATAGATACCCTGCATGACATTACAAGACTCACAAGGACTGTGGCTCCAGCGATTGGGCGGAGGAGCCTGAATCTTCGGTCAGACTTTCCTCCGCGAGTGTCAGATGCAGAAAGGGATGCAGCACAGTGCTAGCCGGACTCTCGCCTCATCACCACTTGGTGTGCCCGGAGGACTGGGCGCCTGAAGACAGCATGCCCGAACACGATGCAGCTGGTTCTTGAAAATTTCAGGCTGAGAAGCTGATATGCACCTGACACTGAACCAGTCTGAGGTTTCGGAAGCTCTGAGGCACAGGCAAGAGGCGGCTCCAGTCGCTTGTGCAGCATCCTGGAAATGCAGCATCTTAGCAAGAACCGGGCTGAGCGTCGCTTCTATGTGCAGGCCAGCTATTACTAGCCTGAGAGCCTACGACCTTCAAGTGTGTCCAACAGTATAGGTAATTATGAGAGCCCTTGTGCAGTTCATGATGGCTGCCACCGGCCTGTCGAAGCGGAAATTCTGGAAGTACACATGCTCACGCCTCGTTGGCATGAGGCATGTCACTTGGGAGTCCATAGCAGCCCTGTCAGGCTTTAAACAGCGGGGGCTACTGTAGCTTGCAGTAGCCTACCTTAGCGGGAACTGCCATCTGACATGTTAAACAAAAATGTGCATGGGGCTGCCGAAGAGAAGATTGACTCAGCTGCCACGAGTATCTGCAATCCGGGGGATGCACACATCCCACAGACCATTCCTCAATCATCTGCATCACACAAGAAGCGCCAGAGAACGTGGACCGTCTTCGAGGAAATCTGAGAAGAACACTGGCCACAACCCAGCCGTCCCTCTGGGCTTCGCCGCAGAAGGCTCCTTCAATTCTGGAAAGCCCCAGGGTGCAAAGGGTAATGCAGATAATGCAGTGTGCTTCCGCATTTCGAAGCTGCCGGCCTCAGGAGATGCTTGCAAACGCTGCTGGCAACACTGCCAGGGAACGACCTGACACATTCCGCAACGTGTCGCTTGCACGGCCCATCTGGTGAAGTGTTTGAAATGGCAGGGAACAGCAAACGCATGTGGCTGAGACTGCGTGCAGGGGAGTGGAGAGGATGTGCTGGAAAACCTGCAAAGTCAAAGCACGTACGTCTTCATCAGAGAGGGAACTCATGGAAAGGCGACTTCCCTGCAACACAGTCCTGCTTTGGGTTTTCCGCAGAATTGGCAAAGGGCAGCGGGCCGCAGACGAACTCGTAGAGGCACACACCCAAGGACCACACCTTTGTGATGGACATAGCAGCATTAATGTCAGGTCTGGATCGTGGGTGTGCCTCCTACGGTCACCATCCCTCAACACGGGCATCCCAGCCATGACATACTTATCGGATCCAAGACTCAGGCACCGAGACGAACGACCTTGCTATTCCCCGCTTCAGCCGGGGCACATCACAGGAGTCCCCATACTCCTCCCCGAGAATGACCTCTGGAGCCTTAGGACGGGAAAGTGCCCAACTCCAGAAGTCCAGAAGCTCGTGCCGGAGGCTCTGCAAGGCTTTGGCCATGTAGTGCGGCGTACCGATGAGAGTGCGCCGCATGCCTCGAGCACGACACGTGAGTGAACTAGGCACTGAACACGAAGTGCTGACTTACGTGGCAGGGGCGGCGAGACGGATACTCAACGATAAAGGATCAATTCGCCCACGTTTTTTTGCGTGCGGCCAGCAGTGGCATGGCTCGAGACCTTACAATAGCCAACAACCTGGCTGACTCGATTCCCACAGTGCCCTGTGTTTCCAAAACAGAATAAGAGAGCATGTCAGGTTCAACCAGCATTTCCTGCATCTGACCGAGGAGAGACTCGAGGCTCAAGCGTCCGACAGAGGCGTGCAAGCAGGCGTTCCAAGCTGCGGTGCTGAGACATTCTTTGCCAAGAGAGTGCTGCCAAACACGGTTGAGCAGTGACAAACAATGTCTCCATTCCTGGGCTTTGCTGCACGCAGAGACCGTGGCAGAGAAAGCCATTGGGTCAAGCCAAGGCTTGAGCTGCTGATGCGATGAGGGGCGCTGGGGAAGCTGGTGCAAGAGACTGAGTCCCTCAGCCCATTTGCCCCAACTCTCGAGAGCATCCAAGGCCGCGCCATAGCAAACAACACCTGTCAGCGACCGGTACGAGTCGATCATTCCCAGAGGAACCCTCCACTGGTTTGACCTCTCACCAGCAGTGGCCATGGCTGCAACAGAGACCGGACTGATGCGCAGCCCGAATTGCTGTGAAGACGACAGCAAGAGTGATGCCAAGCACCACTCCCCTGCATTCGCACATGCACTCACGGCAGCATTTCGCCCAATGATGTCGGGCTCGATGGCGAAGAGTCTTTGAAGCAGCAACGTTCGAGTTGCCAACTCCCAGTTGACTGTCTTCTCGCATGCCGTCACGAGTGTGTTCAAGCTAATAGCATCAGGCACTAGGCCCCTGTGAAGTCCTGCGTGCAGCAGGTGGCAGCCTCTGTGCCATCGCAGGGAGCTGCCCAAGCAGACCAGGGCTGAGTTCAAAGACACGACGGACGTTCTCAGACCTTTCGCAGCAGCTTCCATCCAGCACTGCATTGACCACAGCCAGCCTCTCCGGAAGCTATGTCTCTCACAACTGGAGGAAGCGGCATTCAATGTCTCGACAGCGACCCGAAAGCCCATCCACTGCAAAGTCTGGACGACCTGCACAGCTCTTTGCCAACTGCCGCCCTTTCCCCAAGAGTTCGCCGCTTCAGTGGCTCCTTGGTGGCTGTTAATTCTCCGAGCACAATTGAAAGCTTCTTGCCAGCTGGCGGCTTTGGCTGCAACGCGGAGGAGAAGCTGGAAATCCTGCACCCTTTTCGAGGCCATGCCCTCCACCAAGTCAAGACCCTTCACCCAGCCGTTTTTGGAAAGAACTCCTGTGACGCTCCGGCCCCCCAGCTCGCTACACAACCCTTCGCTTCTCTCCTTGTATCGGTTGGGCTTTCCCATTTTTGGACGGCCAAACACCGCTACATCGAGCTGTGGATGTTTGGGGAACCACACGAAACTTTCTCAGCAAGCGCCGTTGCTCTTCCGCCATGGTTTCGCTATGCCAAAGCGAATTAGCGTCGTATCATCTCCATTGGGTGCCCCGGTGCACAAGTGCATGGCAACTAGGCTTTCTCCATTCCTCGGGATGATTCGGCCCTGAGCCATCGGAGGAATTTATGCGCACGGTCACGCAACATACGTGCAAACTTGGACTGGGCAGATTGTAGGAGTGGTACGACCAAGTCTCACGGCACAGCCGAAGTCGATCAGCTTCGGATACCCATCAGAGTCGAGCAACACCTGAATCGTTTTGCTGGCTTCCGAGGGCCGCAGGCTATGTCCTTGCAGCCATGACTTGAAAGCAGCTACGTGCACAAGGCAGCCGGATGCTACACTCTGTATTCACAAAAAACAACTAAGAACTTCAGGACCGACTGAGAAAACAGCATTCTCCGGCTTGAGATCACGGTACACGATTCTCCTGGGCTATTGCGCTGAGAAGGCGTCTTCAGGACCTGTTGCGTCTCTTCGCGATACTGTTGCCCCGGAGAGTGCAGCACAGCAGCTTCTCGTGGAGAGCCTGCAGGGCAAGGATCAGGCCACCGGTGTAGAACCTGCAAGGCAGCCGTGACTCAGGAACCTCGCTTCAGGGACGGTGCGCATTTGGAAAAGGATCGGCCTGGCTTGCCATCCGGCCAGGATGCCCAAAGAGCGGATTGCGAAGAAGAGTTCTCCACCTGTTGCATAGAGGCCAGAGAGCATTCTGCCACTTGATCTCAGGTGGCACATGCATATAGATGCACATGTTTGCGTGCTTACGATATCTGCAACTTTCTCTCTATCCCCTCTCTCTACACATATATATATATACATACACATGTGTACATCTCTACACATATACATATATATATATATACACACACACACGCACGTACACGCACAGACCATACATATCTATATGCATACGTTTACGATCTTATACGCGTAAAGGAAGCTGGTGTCATGTAGGGAATGGCCTGTGACGAATTCCGTCAGGAAATACACGTACCTGCGCACAGCAGGCCAGATCGGAGGTTGGCATTCGACTCTACAATGGCACCTTCAGCAACAATAAAGACAACAGCTGAAAGCGCAGGACAACGAGCGCAAAGGCATATGGCAAACGAGGGCCACAAGCCAAAGCCAAGTGTGTGAGCATCCGCATACACACACACACACACACGTTTGAACAAATGTAGATTTACATACAGACTCATGCAGGCACACAACATACGAGCACATACAAACACCATCATCTCAGGATATTAGCGGGTTCCAACTCTGCACAGAGAAGTCTCCGGACGCTCGAATTCATCCGGACTCGTTTGTTTGAAGCTGCGCGTCGTTCGGGTCCCATGCTAAGGGTTTTCGGGTGCATTGAAGGCCTAATTTGTCGGCTTCATGAGGGCGCCGTCTCTGCCCGAAATACCCCCTTTGCTCTGCATATCCAGCTGACAGGGCTGAACTATGTGCTCCCACATGCCTGACATGCGCTGCTTGAAGCCTTTGGATAACTACCGTCGGGCTCCTTTTGCATCAGCAGCCAAGACGAAGTCCACGCCTAAAGCTATGTGATCCGATGGGTAGGAATGGCTCGGCAGTCGGGCCGTGGGCATTTCCGCCTCCGACGGGAGCTTCAGGAGGGCCGCCAAGCACAAGGAGGGAGAGTGAAGAATGTAATCGATGGTCCGCTTCACCTCGCCCTTGGGTCTCAGCTTCCACGTCGTGAACTCAGGCTCCTTAGAAGACTCTGCATATGAGCTTTGGAGCCGGAGATCATGGCTGAGTGCCGCCGTGTAGGCGAGAGGGTCGCCGATTTTGCCATCTGGAACCGACACAGCGTTCATGTCGCAGGCTACTATGACTCCATGGGCAGGAGTTGACATTCGTGACAACAGGTCCAACAACGACGCCATCTGGTCACGTCTCTGCTTCTCTGCCACTTCTGTCTTGCCTGACTTGAGATGCGCACTGGCAGCCACTAGCTGCAACTCGGATCTACGATCTTTCAGCAGAGCAATTGCAGCGTATCCGGCGTCAGCTTCCTCAATCACCGTGAAGCGGTCCTGCTTGACGAAGACGGCGCAGCCGTCCGTCGCTGGTGGCTTTGGCTTCGTGAGGATCCCTTGGTAACCGGCAAGGCAAAGCTCGATCTCCAAGCTTCCCTCCGGAACCATGTCCAGCTCTTGTAGGCAGATGATGTCAGCTTCCTCTTGCAAAAGGATCTCCAACAAGCGCAGTCGCCTTTTGGGCCACTGTAGCACATCCTCCGGAGTGGCAGACCACTCCTCCTCTTTTTGCTTGCTGTCCGCCAACAAGTTCAGTGATAGAACACGAACCGAAGACTCCGATTTTTCGGGTGGACCAGCGGCCGACCACGTCCGCTTTAGGACAGGGGGCCACTGAAGCTCCGCGAGAGCTTCTCGGATTCTTTGCAGTACTGAAGTGGCCGTGCCAGTGGCCGACCCATGAGCTGCATCCCCTGGGCTCTCAGTAGTATCCATGGCCTCACTTCGGGGCTGGCAGGCGACACATGGCAAGACTTCTTTGGGAGCGTTCTTCGTCGTGTGCACTGAAGTTTCCGGTGGTGGTCCTTCCCAATAGTCTTGTGAATGCACATGTATGCACAAAGCTTGATTCAAGCGATCCAGTGGCGAGCTGTCGCGCCGTGGTTGATCAAGCCGACTTCTGCCCTACCCAGCCGCATTCCCTCAGTGCCTTGAATCTTTGAAGGTTCGAACGAGCTTGAGGATGAACGGATGGTCCTCGGCGGGACAGGCGTGCTTTGAGGCTGCGAACTTCTGCAAGCTCCTCCTCACCTCGAGCTAACGATTCGCCACTAAGGTTGTAGCCAAGTCCGTCAACAGCTCTCGCTCGTTGCAGAGACTCTGCTGCTGCCCTCTTGCAATTGCCTCATGGAGTCCATAACATCGTTGACTGACCGGATCGGGAGTGTCAGGCCTGGGAACGACGTATCCGCTTCAGCGCATACCTCCATGGCGACTGTTCCAACAAACTTGACTATGCTGCTTTGCACACTCAACACCATTTGAGCTTGGCAAAGACTGTTCACTATGAAAGGCTTCGCGTCTCAAGTTTCAACGCCTCATGCCAGATGGCTGATGCTCCATAAGTTGCACCTCAGACTCACGACCACAACATGTTCGAGATCCTACCAACCACTAATCGTCTTCCGCTTCGGTCAGCGCGGCACCGTGCCGAAAGTCCCGTGCCCGATCACCCGCAGCTTTCGAAGGTCCTTCAGGCCTTCGGAGCAGACTCAAACAAGGCTTGCTAGCGTTTGCTGGCTTGCTTCCTGGTCCTAATTAGACGCTCCTGATATAGAAACAAGATGAAACAAGCAGAAGCGAAATCAACTCCAGAATGCCACGGTGTCCGGAAGATGCCACTGAGGCCATGACCAATGTCCGTGCGCCTTTGTCGTTCAGGTTGACGGACTCATAGCGATTACGTGTTCTTACTTCTGCGTGACATCCCGCCTGTTGAGTTCAACGACAGTACACAAGATGTCTTCACTTGTGCATGCTCCCGGTGGTTTGCACCAGTTTAACATATCCGTACATCTATGTACATCTAGAGGATCATGGAGCATGAGGAGGCGGGAGCGGCGTACATCTTGCTCTCGGAAGAGCATGATCGTGTCGAGATAAGATCTGTATTCTGTGCATCCATTCCACGACGACAACAACGACACCTCATGCAGAGGCCGCTAGCACCAGCAAGTCTCACCACCACGCTCTCAAATGTGAGCAACTCCTCTAGAGGAGTCGCTAAAGGCCTCACGGGGCACCTAGTGGGTGTTACGAGGCGCTACGAAACCTTGCTCTGCACTGCATGCCTCCATAAGCTAGACGACGAACGACCTTGAGTCAGGCTGCAACGCGGAAGCATCTCGCGACCCTCCGAAGGGTTGTGGCCACGACGAGCCCGATGGCGGCGATGCGGCACTCGAAATCCGACCAGCAGTCAGGTCATCTTCCCCAGTTCCGTAGGCATCACTGAAGCGATGCTGGCGAGCGAATAAAAAGTTCCGCCGCCGCAGAACCGTTGGGCCCCCGAGTGCTGCCCCCGGGAGCAGGAGGAGGAAACAGACTAGTGAATAGCAGCCGCCAAGCTTGAGCAAGGTGGCTCCGCACCAACACACACCCGAAGCAGAAACAAGCGCCGACCCCACCAAAAGTCGCGATCTCACAGCGGAAGTCAGCGGTTCATCGGATTCTGCGGATTCGGGCAAGCGGAACTCAACGGCTGCTGAAGCCGCTAAAGCGAGTCTTCTGAAGCATCACTTCGCCACGACCGGTTTCTTGGGCGATGCAGAGCGTGAGCGTGGCGAATTTGTGGCACCAGCACCCCACTCTGTAGTCAGTGCAGCTTCGTGGTTCAGAACAGGCTGCTGAGGTCATGACCGCAGGCGCAGCTGGTTGTGCAACTGCTCAGACACCTGATCCTGCAAGGGGCAGTTGCCTTTCGGATGCTGGGGAGACAGTGGCCAACATGTCTATACAGATGTATACAGTACCCTCCAGAAGCCCGGCCTTGACAAGAAGCTCAAAGATCATTGTGTCCATGGCCTGTGCTTCATGTACTTCATGTAGCATAAGTGCATACATTCCTCAGGTTTCTCGTTGACCGCGTCTCTCAGATCCTGGCAAGCACTGTCACGGTGTCCTGACATATCATTGAACGACTTTCGCCAACAGCCAGAGCCATGCTGGTGCTTCAGCACTCATTCAGAGCTTGTGTGATTCTGCAGGCGATGATTGCATCTCACGGACGTCTGGGTGCCCCGGCAGACTTGCACTTGACACTGAAGTATCGTGTCTTCTTGCTTAGTAGCCTCAGGTGTCAGCATGACACCAGCTTCAGCGCCAAATTCAACGGTCTCCATGCGGGAAGCTGTGCTGAGCTAGATCTCGCATGGCTAGCTGGTTCAAAAAAATCCGCCGGTCATCTGAGACACACGCTCCGCTTCTCCGAAGGTGCTGAAGGAGCCCAAGGTCCGAATGATCTCGCCTAGGTCATGTGTGCAGGCGCTGAAAGAACGGAATGAGCAGATAAGTCTGGCTTCTGAATATCAGTTTCACATGTGTTCCGTTGGGCCTCCTTTTGACACGACAACCTCGCCCTCCTTGATGATGAAGAAGTGTGAAGCCAGATCACCTGACTATACTGTTTTGCTGATATTGGCAAGATGTTGCCGCCTGATGTTCTTCCAGAAACATGCTTGACCGTTGAGGTCTCAGAAATGACATGAAACACAATAATTTACATGAGAATAGCGCTGGTGGATTCGGATGGTTGTCCTCGTGATACTGATGCTGATGATGCTGATGATGCATGTGGTGCTTTTGAAGGTCAGAGGTTTCAGATTAACCACAAGCCTAATATCAACATGGTGCGGATTTCCGGTTGCTGTCGCGCCAACCAATGCTGAGAATAACGGAGTTATTATCAAGTATTCCACCAGCAAACGTGGAAGACGAGCACTCATTATTCGTCAGCTGGAACCCGCCCAACTGATTCTTCGATTACGGAGCACATCACAACGCGCTCCTCGAGAGTCACATCAACGTATGCTGGCCCAGCTCCTTGGGACTAATTCGACTCGCAGGTGGATGCGCTGCAAAGCCCCATGCAATGCCAGGATGCCCGGCTGCAGAAACTTGTCACACTCAATTGTTGCCGACTCCGCCAACTCCGTCTCCATCCACCTCAAGATTCGAACTGGATTCCAGTTCGAATCTTGCGCCTCTTCACTCTTGAGCTTCTCATGCAGCTCTTCTGCCGTGCGGGTGCAGCCATAAATCTTCATCTTGTCCAGCGTTCATTATTCTCCTGGAGTTCTCGATGGAACTCCTTCCACCGATGAAGAGTTGCCCGGGCCTTCTCCAGTTCAGCGATTAACTCAGGGCATTGCGCTTCGAGTCGCCTTTTCATCTCCTGCTTCTTTGCCGTCCCGCGGTGCACCGTCTTACGGAAGTGTTTGCTGCTGCTTGTTGAGCTGCTTGCACCTCTGTTCCTCACGTAACTGGGTGCGAAGCTCTTGGCTAATCGGGCAGTCATCTGCTCGCGGTTGAACCTGAGATAGGTCTTTTCGAGGAAAGACTCCAGCTGACAAACTTCGGGTGCGGCGATTCGTGTCCACATGCGGGCCGTGGGCATCCTCGTTGCAAGGTCGGAGCCCTATGTCTGGCAACACAGAAACCCTGGTGGAGTCGGCCGACTCAGAAGCGGCAAGACAAGAGGCACAAGTGTTGTTCCAAGAAGTTCCAGTCACCATGTGTCAGCTCAAGGAGACTGTATGTAGTATACTAGTATATGCCTCAGGGCCTGAGGGGGTTTACAATGGTACGGACGTGGCATAATGCCAGGGCATTTTTCTAAACTGCTGCGCTGGACCTTGTGAACTCCGGGAACACCGAGAAGGCACTTACTTTTGATTCTTGCATGTGTGGCTGCATTCTGTGAAAAACATGTCACATGGATTCCTGTATGAGCGTGAGCAGGATTTCGATATGGAAGGTCTACACTCCAATAGTCTGCACGGAGAGCCCGAACGGTGCGCCCCACCTTCTTTGAAGAGGAATTGTCCGCGGCGCCTAGCAGAATGGCATCGCACGAACCCTATGCAGTTTTCCCAGTGCATAACGACAAGAGCCCTGGAAAGACATCGCGCCTCAACAGAAGATGGCCGGCCTCCGCCAACTGTGCTTGTTGGGTGCGGTCAAGGTTTCGGAAGATCAAAGCATTTTTCACCACCTCCAGCTTGTCACCATACGGGGCTGCAGTCCCGATGGCATCTTGCAGGAACATAGCCAGGGTACATCCATCCCGTGTTGTTCTGATCTGCTTCCCTCTGTGACCCTCACTGATGCAAAAGGAGCAGCCAGGCATGGCATCTTCACCGGTCCTTCGCAGGGATCCATCCAAAACCACATACCACAAGATGGAGGCGGCTTCATCGGCAGAGAAGAGCTCGGAGCTGCTGGCCGGGAATGACCGGATGATACATGCTCTTGCAAAGGCTTCCGGATCATCTCGCCACATGAGCGGACCGCCGAAGCTCAGCCGATCAGACCAGACATCGCGAAGCATGCGCAGCAAGGTGCACCGCCAGAGAAAGTCCGGCATATGGTCTCCAAGTACGTCCCGTAGGAGTTGAAACGAGAAGGCCAGCATTCCTGCCGCATCATCCTCGTTGGAAACACGGACTGTTTCTGCGTGGGGCCTGCTGCACCAAGCCGACACCTGGTCCAGGCACTCGCCCGGGTAAATGTACCTTTCACGTTCATTAGATTGCGATATAAGGCAGCCAGACTTGACAATATATAAGAACTCCTTGGGCATCTGCCCTGCTTCATAGATGCAGGCATCCTTTGCGTGAGTGATGGAGAAGGCATATCGTCCCAGCATTGCCAAGTCAGGCGAGTCCAGAAACCGAAACAAAGGCACTGCCGAAAGAAAGCGCAGATTTCTGCTCCCGATCGTCCTTGCCAGAGCTTTTATGGTCGACAGCAGTGCCATGCTTGAAACCGTGAAGCATGTCCCGCCAAAATCTCCTGCCACAACTTCACCAGCACAGCCCTGCACTAGTTCCAACTCTCCAAAGACGCACCCGGGACCAAGAAAGCTTTCTCTGCCCGAGGTATTCATGAGCTTGAAGCTCCCTTCGCGCACCACAAATATTCCAGTGCCGAGTTGATCCTGTGAGGCGAAGATGGGGCTGTCCAGGCATGTAAGTAACCCAAGGATCCATGACAGGGGGTGGCTCAGGCTTTTTCAAGTTGGTTTAGCACACTCCTCCGTGTTGGCTCCCTTCGGCATTCCTTAGACTGAGGTAGATCTTGAATCTTGAAGCCCTGAATCGCTGCTCCGGCCTTGTTGGAGGCGAGCTCGCCGGGCTTGAAGCGAAGAAGGTGCGCTTGCCGTGCCTTTGGGTGAAAAACTGGTGAAAAATGCCGTTGCTCACCTGCGAAGACTCTGCAGTGCGCTACCTACCCCTGCTTTCTCCTTCATCTAGAGTATCCAGTGCCGTTCCCAGTGCGCCGCAGCAACTTCAACCGAAAGCCTGCTCTTGTAGAATACGGGACCCATGCTTCTCGATCGGATTGACCCAAGCGGAGCTCGTCGCTGTCAACCTTACCTCGATAACTTGACCTTGTCATTATCCGAGCATGCCACGGAAGTGGTTGATTTAGCATGGCATAGCTCTAGGTCAATCCCTCCCGACCCCAAATTCCCCCCTCAACCACCCACCATCAGCACATAAACAACGAGGAGGAGGACGACGACGACTGCTGTTGCCGCTTCGCCACCTCCTCCTCCTCCTCCTACTGCTACTGCTACTGCTACTGCTACTGCTACTGCTACTGCTACTGCTACTGCTGCTACTACTACTGCTGCTGCTGCTACTACTACTACTACTACTACTACTTCTACTACTACTACTACTACTACTACTACTACTACTACTACTACTACTACTGACGAATACTCCGACAACTACTACTACAAAAACAGCAGCACGAGCATCAGCACCCCACCCCCAGCCCCACCGCCACGTCCATTACACTCGAGCCAATGCTAAGCCAAGCTCAGGACAACGCTGCTTTAGAGAAAAAGCTCGCTTGCCGTTTCGTCCGGGCACCAATTGCTGCAGCTGATCTTCGTCGACGTCGGAGCAGAACAGGGAACCGGAGACCAGCCCTCAGGGATACCCGGCCAAGGAGTAGCCAAGGACTGGAGGAGGGCTCGGAAATATTCCGATCCTAGAAGTGAGATGTGAGTTTCCTCTTGTAACAATTTTGCTACCATCTTCTGCATAACACTGTTTGTCCGTGATATGCGGTGTTTTTCGGCAGGGCCTTGCCGAAAGATCTCAAAGTCGGGTCCGGATGGACTCATGAAGTAGTCTGCCACAGCATGAGCCTCCCAAACAGGACGCGATTTGACTGGAAGTTTACTGTAAGTGGCATCTATTGAAGATACATGCTTCAGGTGTCCCCAGCATCAGAGGCAATTGACCGCAGTCGCCTGAAGTTCCGAAATCGATGACACTCGACCTTAGAACAAATCAACACGCACACCCACAGCTCGAGGATGAGTTGATGAATTACGGGGCTTACGGGGCCAGTGCCACACGCATACGGCACATCTGCACTGCTTCAGACAAGCTGCTCACGGAGTCCATGCTTCCAACCTTGCTGAGCCTGGGGCTCATCCGAGGAAAACAGGCATAACTGCATAACCATCTCCAGTCGGATGCCTAAAGCTTCGCTTGATGTTGCGCTCGCCAAGACTGCCAAGGTTGCCGAAGCTCCTGCGCTTGCGCCGAAGGTTTGCGAGCTCTTCTGGGGCTTCGGCTCTCACTCCGTCCAGGTGGTTCTATTTGCATCCGTAAGACCTTGGGCGAGGCCCAGGTGTGAGCCAGGCTTGGCCAGTTGTGCAGTATTGAGAATGGTAAGCCGGTAAGCTAGCAGCAAGACTCTGGTCTGCTGCTTGCATCCGACCTCTGCACCAGGACACCATGGTGCTGAGTTTCTTGCCGTGAGGTCGGCATCGACGGATATGCTAGGCACGATGCACGGAACTTCGCGCACTCAGCGGTCGACCTGGGCAACACAAATGCGCGACGAAGAAACGACTGGAGTCGGACCCGTTGCCGTGGCCCGGACGACGGTCCCTAAAGCCCCGAAAACTGATGAGTGGGGAGAGTCTGAAGCATGTCTCCCTGCTGTTGGAGTTGTGCACTCGATTGATAACGGGAGCAGGTGGTCATGACGTGTTCTCTTAGCTTCGAGGAACAACCTGGAATGATGTGAGATGCGTTTGTGTTCCAAACAGTCTAGCCTTGCTCTTGCGTTTCCACCAAAAGCCGTGAGTGAGGAAGGGAGGAAGGGATTATGACTCTCGCCAGTCTTGAAGCCTCTCCGAATCAAATACCGCAAGCCATCAGTAAACCCAAGCATGCGGAGCAGCTGTGTGGAAGACCAAGGCTCTAAGCCCAAAAACTCTGCAGCCGATGGTGTCACTCTCTCTGCACTTTCCTTTCTGGGAGTTTCCGAAAACAGGGGACCCTAATATAGTACCCTAAATAGCAAGATCCATATTACAAGGCCCCAAAGTAAGGTACTCCTGAGTTTCGGAAACTCCCATATCCACTGCCTCTGAGCCAAAGTTGAGTCTCAAGTTTCCTCACTCGGAGCCTGGCTGTGTGAGGCGCGGCTTTCCCCGCCCTCCTGCTGGCATCCGGGTCAAGGTACAGTTAGGCGCACCAAGCTTACACTTACACAACTGTCGACACTCATGGCCAGTTGCTCAAATCTCTTTCAAGAGATTGGGACCATGCTGCCATGTTCCAATTCAAGACTGCGGCTCCTGAATTCCACTACGCAGGCTGGCGAGTGGAAGCAGCCGCCGACCGGTCGCGTCGCCTTCAGGAACATAAGGCTTTTCTGGATATGTCTTAGTCTTCTGCACAGGGACATTTACATGAAAATGACATGAATATTGAGGACTTTCACAAGACAGGTTCGAGTCGATCTTCCTGTAGGGTCAAGGCCTCCTGCAGTGAACTTTGCCGAGGCAACAACAAGAAGCTTTTTCGTGGCATGCGGGAGGTCCCAACACTGGCACAAACTGCTCCGAAACCCGAATCTGGACACAACCGGGCTGGGACCTCCTCATGGATACCCCAACAAACCAGTCGGACTCTAACAATCCAAGACCCACTCACACTGAGGGTCATGCAGCCTTCTTCATTGACGAACAGCCCCTTCCTCAGCACTTCAACGCAGTTTCACTCTCAACAGAGGGAAGAAGCTGAGGATTTGGCGGAACTTGCCGGGGTGGTGTTCGGTTCCGATTCGGCGAAGCTTGGGCCTGACAAAGAGGCCAAAAGCCTCTTCCCAAGTTGATCTTCCTATGTCACATCACAGCCTCCGCGAGCTTGTTTCGCCGCGACCTCAGCAAGGCAGCTTCCGCTGTGCCTCCAAAGGCTCTGTAGTAAGGCCGATGCCGCACTGCGGGCAGCAGCAGCTGCTGGTGCCTAGCAGAGTGGCATAGATCATGCACAGCCAGATGCCATCAAGTTCCACGAAAGCCGAGCATCAAAGTTACACATCCTGTCATGGCCTGTCGGGAGAACTTGCAGCGGCCATCCTGCATGAGCCAAGAATGCGTGAACCCAGAAGAGGAGACAAGATGCAAGATTGCATACTTCATCGTCACCGTATCGCGTATGGAAAACGTGACTCTTAAGCAGCTGTGCGCCAGACTTTGGGCAACTGCTTTGGGCGTCGAACCTGTCGGCATGGAACGATGCAGGAAGCCGTGATAACCTCTAACCTCCATTCTCATAGCTGTGACGGAGTTCAGCTAGGGCACAGCTGCAGCACAGGCCTGCGAAGTCCTGCTTCTCACATGCGTGACGGCCTGCAGCCGAGATATCTTCCCGAGGCTTCGTCAAGTCCACAGGTCGCGGCGCAGTGCTCTACTAGTCTACTGCTGTTCGAGGTTTCGTCAAGACGACATAACTCTAAAGACTGAGCGGCCTTAGAGCAGCGCACCTCGCCTCGACAGCGTGTCCATGGCAAACATGTGCGTGGCTGCATCATGAGAAGCTGCTGGTACTGCCTCAGTGCCTAACCTGGCTTATCGGATTATGTATTTCCGTCTGTCATGCTGAAGCAGTCTTGGCCCTGTAAGAATGATTCATTGCGTTTCAGTAGACGACGCCGCGAACAAACCTCCCACCTACCAGTTGCAGCCAGAGCAACAGCGGTTTGCACAAGTGGGCATCGAAGTTGCTGTGCTGCTTCACTGTCAACCGTCAGATTGTACCAATATGTTTTAGTCGGCAACACATCCCCGCACTGTGACTAGAGATCTTCCATGGTCTTCACGGAAGGTCTGGGTGAGACTTGTGCGGGACGGGTTCCGAGTGGCGCATCAGACGGCTCCTCCTGCTTAGAGATGGCTCACAGCGCCTCGTTCCGATTGCTGAAGCTCCTGCACAAGGTTTGGCATGCAGTATATAGAGCAAGGGATCACGACGTTGTCTTCTGCGCCCGACAGTACCTGGAGGACGAGCTGCCAGACATGCTGAACCATCTCATCTGCCAAAGAGTTGACGACTTCGGTCACATCCTCAGCGGATAGCGAGCGCCAATCCATGTTACTCCATACGGTTGATGATATAAATCCTGCATTACCTTAAGGACCCTATGCTATGGGAATTATAGTATATTCCTTATTGTGGGTAATGCAGGATTTATATCATCAACCGTATTTCTGCAGACTGTCAAGTAGCCACGGAAACAGACTGCAGCATAACGTAGCTCATGTCATGGAGAGCGGGCTGGCAGCACTGTTCTTTGCGGCAGGCTATCAACGCCAGGCTGACCACTCATCAAACCACACAGCGTTGGACCGCCGAGCGCAAGTAAGGTCACCGCAGGGCGGGGTTGCGAACCTTGTCCTGGCACATCTACGCCGCGGATCTGCATGCCTGCTGGTGAGCCTTTGCAGCGAACACAGACAAGGCCGCGGCCTTCGATTCTGGCGACCTGCTCTTCCAAGTCCTGCGGTCAGTCATCGGTCCATCCCACATTTGTCGCGTCAGAGACCACGACCTTCAGCATCAAGTCCAATTCCGCTCCATCCCTCCGTGCCTCATATTGCAGGTCTGTGGGCCCACCGTGTGCATGCACGACAACTCCGAGGTGAACCAAGCCTGAGCCAACTCCTCTTTGGGGACCGTGAGGTCTTGAGCCTGCCCAGCAATCCCAAACTTCTCCCATATCCAAACTAGCTCTGGAGTTGCGGGACTTTGGGGAGAGAATGCTAACACCGATTGCAGGCAGCCCATCCCGGCCCATCCCTCTTGCACTCAAACTCTCACAAATAAGCGCCCGCCGCACGCACGCACACACACACACACTCACACTCACACACACACACACACACACTCTCTCTCTCTCTCTCTCGCCCTTTTTCTTCTCTGTCTCGCCCTTTCACCCGCAGGCCTGTTCCTTTTGTGCGATCAGAGCTCGCAAGGCCTTCCGGACAGAAGATGAATGCTTCACTTCACGAGTGTGCCGTCGCTGGACGCAACTGGCACTTCGACTGTCGACTCGTCGGCCAATTATCCCGGGGGCGGTTTGGAGTTTGGGCCTCTTTCTTCTGCTCCAGGCGGGCCTGGCAGAGCTGCAGCGAGAGCGGTGCAAAGTCTGCAGCAGTGCCGCGTGCCCGCACCTCCAGCGCTCCGAGCTCAGCGAGGTCTTTGTGAGCGGCCTGAGCCACACAGCTCTACAGAGCATCGACGGCAATCTATGGGCTGCTTCAGAGGGTTGGCAACTCATGGCTTCTGCTTCTGCAGAGCAGATTTCGTCTCCGGTCCTAAGCTCACTGCCTGGTAGTGGGTGGCAGCAGTAGCAGTAGCAGTAGGAGTATGAACAGGAGGAGGGGTAGGAGTGGGAGTGGTATTGCTATGACTATTGCTGCTTTTGTTATCATCATCATGATATTTATTATCATTATTCTTCTTCTCATTACTATTATTAGTAGTGGTAGTGTGAGTGCTAGCACTAGTACCTACCCCTGCCGACTGCGCCGCTTGTCAAACCAGGGCTCAGGAATCCCGGGGTTGCAAACTCGACAATGAATTTGAAGGCAACAAGAAAATAACGAGTAAGATGCATGTGTGTGCAACAGCTTCGTCATTACCATCCCCCCACCCACCCTGCTTCTGAAATCCGAAGCTCGAGCTTGCAAAGACGACAAGAGGATGTTGAGACAACCAGAAGTTGTAGGGCATCACAAAAGTACACCAAGTACCGACTAAAGTGGATGTGCCCTAAAGACGGTATAGAGCAAGTGTAGTTGGTAGGGGTAATGCCTGGTACTAGTACCAGTACTAGGAGCAGTAGCAGTAGCAGCAGTCGTAGCAGTAGCAGTAGTAGTAGCAGTCGTAGCAGCAGCAGTCGTAGCAGTAGCAGCAGTCGTAGCAGCAGTAGTAGCAGTAGCAGTAGTAGCAGCAGTCGTGGCAGTAGTAGTGGCAGGAGTAGTAGTAGTAGTAGTAGTAGTAGTAGTAGTAGTAGTAGTAGTAGTAGTAGTAGTAGTAGTAGTAGTAGTAGTAGTAGTAGTAGTAGTTCGTCGTAGTAGTAGTAGTCGTCGTCGTGGTGGTGGTGGTGGTGCAGCAGTAGTGGTAGCAGTAGTAGTAGCAGCAGTAGTAGTAGTTGCCGTCGTAGTAGCATTAGTCGTAGTAGTAGTCGTCGTAGTAGCAGTCGTAGTGGTCGCAGTAGCAGTAGTAGTAGTAGTAGTAGTAGTAGTAGTAGTAGTAGTAGTAGTAGTAGTAGTAGTAGTAGTCGTAGTAGTAGTAGTAGGAGGAGTAGAGTAGGAGTAGGAGTAGGAGGAGGACTAGGGGGAGGGGGAGGGGGAGTTGTTGTTGTCTTTGTCGTTGTGGTGGTCATGGTTGTGGTTGTGGTTGTTGTTGTTGTTGCTGTTGCCGTTGCTGTTGGTTTTTGTGCGTCAGAATGCAGCGGTCGTTGTTTTTGTGTATCAGAATGAAGCAGTCGTGGTGGTGGTGGGTGGTGGTGGTGGTGGTGGTTGGAGCTTCGGAATCGTGGCGGGGATCACGTTGGAAGCTACAGGCATCTCCAGCCTGCGCTTCGCTGATCATGTCTGGCAGGAGTGCATGAAGCTCGCCAATCCGTCTCCTCAGAGCCACTAGCAGCCACCGACATCTGAAGCGGCTGGTCATCGGCTTTTGTGCTATATAATCTCTTTGAAACTAGGCCACTAGGCTTTGCCTCTGCGGTGACTACAGGATTTCGCCCAGCCCTTGGGAAATCCTTCGGATCCTGGCTGCGCAGCTGTTCGGCATGTTTGGTCTGAAGCTATTGAAAGCGGGCACAAGATAGTAGAAGGCAACTTGTGAGACCTGGCATCAATACTGGGCTTTGAACTGAACTTCTCGCAGCCCATCGTCAACAAACAGCCTCGGCTTAGCAAGGCCCGCGAATTCTCTTGGGGAGGATTTGCCAAGACATCTGCCCGTGAGAGAGCACCCGGGAATACACCTTGGTTTTGCAAAACACCGGCTGGACCGACAACAGTGCATCTACCATGCCGTCAGCGTGCCTTGTTCTGCTGGTGGTTGAACGAGAGGATGGGGAGCGTGGTCACGTTCGATGTGTGTTTAAAGACGCAAAGGATGAAATCTTCCACTCCTGCAGCAGGCGATGACACGCATCAGAGTGAAGTCGTGTGCTGCGTGTGCTCTGAGCTGTCGGCCGACAGGACCAAAGAGCGCCATCTCGTGGTAAGCAGCTTTGAGGTTCTGCAGAAACCCGGGGCCATGTGTCTTCAGCACAGACTACAAAGGAGGCTTCTGAATGCCAGCAAATCCGAGGCAGCAACTTCCATCGTGACTCCCTGGCTGTGAGACCCGAAAGCTTAGCTACTAGCTTCTGTGCCGCTTCAGCGGAAAGATCCCATGCCTGTTCATGAAGGGTGCAGCGATACTTCGAGAGCTCCTCGATCTCATCGACATCCAAACTAACCTGACAGTCTGACAGACTCGACTCTTCAATGTGCTCGGTCGCAAGTCTAAGTGAGCCTCGTCCATCGGCTCCATGCGCTCCTGCCATTCCTCCAGGCTCAGATCCTGGAACTTCGCACAGACAACAAAGCTGACAAGAAAAGGAAGGCCAAGGCAAGGATGGCAAGGATGGCCTTCGCTGCGTCTGTGTCTTCGGCGACGGGAGCTTCGGCTGCTGGCGAAGCAACCAGCAATCCCTGCAGTTCCTTCGCGACCTTCTCGCTCTCAGCCTCCACACTGGTCGCCTCACGATGGAACCGAATGAGCCCATCTTTTCAGCTTGAATCCAGCACCCACCTTGTCCAGCGGCACGGCCAATGCACTCAGGATGTCGTTCCAGTCTATGTTGTCAGCAGGAGCATGACCTTCGCCGACAATAGAAAAGTGAATGCGGAGACCGGAGCTTCTCTGGTCCAGTTGGCGGCGCAACTGAGCTGACCACCTGCGGCTCGGAAAGCCTGCCGCAGCAATGAAAAGGGTCTGAGTGGGAGCTTTTCTTAGCCGTGCAGCTTTCAGCATCTTCAGCTGGCTCGACTGCAGGCCTTGTCCAGACTCCCAACCTCCGTGTGCAGGTGAAGACGGCACCCGTGACTACTCCTCAACCGTCTTGACTACTCCGCTGCACCGTTGCCCAACCGGAAGGCTCCTCAAACCTGCAAGATTTGACGGCCTAAAGCCTGAGACACCAGCGATCAACTGGTTCTTGCGAAAGTTCACGTGGGTGCCATCGACTTCTGCGTCACCTGGCCACCAGGTTCAAACTCCGAGTGCAGCGAGAAGTGGCCGTCTCCGCCTTTGAGGATGATCAGCTGGGTCGCGAGGACTCCACATATCACACCTGAAAGGCCTGTCGCGAGGCTCATGAGACTGAGTTTCGTCTGGCCCTGAGACATCGCTGGGTTGGGCACAGAGGCCCATAAGGAGGACAAAGGCTAAGACCTCGCGAGCTATAAAGCGTCCTTTGTTCCACTGCGTTGCGGCTTAGCTTCGAGCCGTGCCGAGGAAAAGGGCAATCTGTAGCCTGTCGCCATCGTATGCCATAGTTATCTAGGTGTCTTGTCTTCTCCAAAGGACCATTGCACGTCGTTTTCACGAACCCTCTTCACTCAATCTTAGCTCGTGTACTCATCCCAAATCCAAGATGCAGACTATCTGTTCGAACAGTGCTAGGGTATGGCCTGCAAAGCGCGTAACCCGATTCTCCAACCCGGCCCGCGTCTTTGCAACTTATCTGTACATGCTATCTCCGAAACATGCCCTTGGCGGGGGCTGGCCTGTCATGTCCCGACTCTTTGAAGACTCTCAAGCAGAGCAGGCCAAGCTCGTTGGACCCAGCAACTGCCTCAGAGTCAGAGCTAACAAACTGGCTTTCCAGGACTCCCGTCTTGAGCTTCTAGCTCTCAACAGGGCAGCCGTAGCATCGAACACGGTCCCAAACGTGTCGAGCACTTCTCGCCTGGCATATGTCAACCTACTATTTTGATTCGTCGCATGGGAGACGGCAGCTGGCATGTGGAAAAAAGCCGGAAAGGCTTGACATCCTCCGATTCGAGTTCCTCCAAGACACCGGGGACCTGCGCGACCCCAACCCTCAGAGGCCACAGGCTTCTGGGTTCGCGTTAAGGAAGTTAATCAACGTTACCATAACAAGGCACCATATTTTATACTATAGATCCCCATTACGGTTAAAATTTAAATCCTTTAACACGAACCCAGGCTTCGGAACTCGTACATAACTCGACGACGCAAGCACTGCAACAATGCCTGAAGAGTCATGACTACGGAGGACAGGAAGAAAAAGATGCCCACCAGTGCCTCGAACGCCGCATATCTGTCGCAAAGGCACTACTTTGACCCTGGTGCCGACTGTCCAAATAAGCGCGAGATCGTGCTTGGTAAGGGCCGCGCCAAACTTAGCAGCATTGGCTTAGCAGACCTCTTGCAGCGCAAGGAACTGTCGGTGGCCTTCTCCCTTCAACCCTGTTCCTGGATAGTGATTGTCCTCTCAACTGCATGCCGTTGCCATGCCCCGAGGCGGCGTGGCAAGACACACAGGGGAAGCGAAACCCGGACAGCGTGCGATGCCGAGCACCTTCTAGAGATGCTGGATGCAATACTCAATGCTGCTGAAGACCAAAGGGACCCTTCCAGTTAGCCTTCCGTCATGCACCTTCTGTTGAAAATCAAATCTCTGACAGCATGTAGCGACGAAACGGATGAGCTCACCGAGTGCACGTTTCTGAGACGTACAATACTTGTGCTGAGGCGCACAAGGGGATTCTGAGATGGAGACCACCGAGTTTGACGAACAGTCTACTTGTTTGGAGAAGGCTGGACAGCTTACAGAAAAAGATGCACATGACAGGATCATGACGGGCATTTTGGAGCAAACGCTGCACTCTTGGTTTTGCGACTACTTCGGCTTCCTGATACCCTGAGAGCTGGGAAATGTTTCCTAAGCTCGCAAGCCCTAAGTCGCGCTGGCCCTCAAGATTTCCAGCGCTTGAAAACTTTAGGAACCCTATATGGGAGTTTCCGAAAATAGGGGACCCTAATATGGTACCCTAAATATAGTAGGATCCTTATTATTAGGAACCCAAATAGGGTTCCCCTAATTTTCGGAAACCCCCATATGTAAGAGGGTCCCAATCCTAAACAGCCCTCCCCTGAAGACTTGCTTGCTTGTGCCGGCCTGGCGAGGCCCATGAGCGCGAGCTCGGCCGACGAAGAGCGCCGGAGCAGCTTCTGACGGGAATCGGTAGATGATATAGTGTAATGTAACACTGTAGAGAAGCAATAAACATAGAAATAGAAATGTTCTATCATAGACGCTGATGTAATATAATACGACATGACATAGTATGATATAAAGTGATCCCAGATTCTGCCGTTTTGTCATACTATATTTATATAGTCATTATATACCACACAAGGCTCAAGAGTCGCTTGCGAGCTCTGGGCACCGTGCTACGCAAACACGAGCCGCTCGGAAGAGGCGCAGTCCACGCAGAGGGCGAATCCAAACCAAAGCTGACAAGGAAGATTCGGGGATTTCGGGGGGTTTTGGGCTCAATGAAAGCTTTGGGGTGTAGGTTGGGGCACTGTCCATGCTGCTGATCGTGACGACTGACATGGGCAATGGCTTTGCAACCACAGCAGCAACAGCAATCAAACAGTACTGGGATGGATACTGCAACTACTAGGCTGCCGATATTACCGGCACCTGGAGACGAAGAAGGCTGCAGCGCTGACCAAAACCTGGGCCGTCAACTGTCTACAAAAGGGAGTATCTGACAATAAGGGGTGGCGGTCCCTTGACTCAGATCCTTCTGTCATTCAGGTTAGGGTCTGCTTTTTGAAAAGAGGTCCCTTGCTTTCTGAAGCCATATGTCAGCAGCATACTCAGGCACGCAACAGTTTCAAGAAGCTCGCGCGAGGTCGACTCTTGAGACTTTGTGCAGGACTGGGGTATGGACACCTCAACGAAAGATCCGACCACAATGATGCCGTCCATCACGAGGATCCTGTCGCAGTGGCTGAGAATGGTGACTTTCGCACCGCCTTCCCAAGGCGACGGCCATGAGAAGCCACGACCAAATTGAGCAACGAAGCGTGCCTTGCGGGATACTCCGGGATGTGGTCGTCTGAGATTTCCGCATGCGAAAGCGACTTCTGGGCTGCCGGCGAGGAATTCTACTCCGAAGGTTGTGATGATGGCTGCTGATGCGCCGCGCCTAGGCAGCACTGGTGCCCCTGCGGTGCCCCTGCGGTGCCCCTGCAGCCCAGAGGATGGTATCCCCGGAATCCCAGAGCTCGAGTCCCGTGCAGCAAGAGATCAGCATCATCAAGGCTCCCGTCCTCATGGCAAAGGAATCCTAATTGTGCTTTGCAGCTACGCGCTCCCCCACTGCCTCTGACTGCCACTCGAGCTGCAGAACGAGGCAGACCTGCATGCTGCATCACTGTCGCTGAGGACTTGCACTCGCTTCTGCACTAAGAAATGTGCTGCATCAGCAATGACGAGCAGAGCGATCATGACGTCAAAGAAGGCCGTTCCTCCCCAAAAGCTCGACGACTCTTGTCTTGGCATGCACACTTGGAGCCGCAGCAGCCTGTGATCTCTCGCATTGCGACACGGAACCTCGGTGGGTGAGATTGTAGGCAGTAAGCAAGCGAGAATGTGTGACTGACTTGCCAAGGCAGAAAGGGGGACCCGACTGGGAGATCCTCCGTTGAACTTGCTTGGACCTGCCAAGATTATTCACAGAAGGGAACAAATAACCGCGGCCGTCCAAGGCAAAGGCTGCGTGAGCAGGGCACGCCTTGGTTCTTCCGATTCTCAGCCTTGCACTGCTGCAGGCTCGGTGCCCGACTGTGCGTTTTGATTCATCAAGTCCTGCCCCCCAACACCCAGATGCAGATGCTTCAATCGGGACAAAAGCACCGCAGGTTCCTGCATGTGGAGCTTGGCTGCCATGCCATCCACGAGACCGCCATCCGCTGAAAGCGAGGCTTCCTGAGTTCTCTTCCGCATCGTTTAGGAGACCCTTGGTCTTGCATGTGCAACTTGCGTCCAAAGTACACAGCGCAGAAAACGAGGCTGTGGGGGATGAACCACAACATCTTGTGGACACTGGTGATGCATAGCGTTCGTATCTAGTTACCTCTGGTGTAGCACCTTTCGCTCCCGATAGTTAGAGGCTCCTGCTGGGCTTGCAAACTGCAAGTGCCCCGTGGCTGTTTGACTGCACAGAGAGTCTGTGAGAAACAGCCAAGACAGACATAGATTATCGTCGACAGTCTCAGGGAGAATTCCCAGGGCTCATACCACATGCGAGGATGCCAGCGGATCGCCCCCAACATTTCCTCCGACCTGACAGATGCAGGCCAATTTCGCCAGTAGCAAATCACCACAACATCGGGCTTGTGGAGAGCTGTCCATGCAGGAAGTCAAGGCGGTCTGTCTGTAAGGGGTTTCGGAGACATGGTGGTCTCATACAGCAAGAACCACGACTCCGACTGCGCTGCACTTAGCTTCTTGTAATGTTGCTTTACACTCAGCGCGAACGCCTAATATGTCTCTGACCAGAAAAGCTGGCGACAGCACAACCTCACAGGCACGCACGAGCCGTGCACCACGTACACGCAGGAGGAGGGGGGACCGGGGGGGCTCGAAGCCAATGGGCCTGCCGAGGCTGCTCCGACTTGTGGCCCGCGCCGCTGACGAAGGACGGCAACGCCGCGCGGGCGAGATCCATGGCTATCGCGGAGACTGTATGGACATTGAAGACCTGTAGCTTTGAAACAACAAGTGGTTCTGGTGGTGCAAACGTGTATTGTCGCTGTGCCGTGGATAAAGACAATACCAGACAACCTGTGCAACTCTTGTGAGCAAATGCCATGCGAAGTTGTCGGACTCAAGCAGAGGCTGGTGTATACCCGTATACCCCTCAGACAGATCGAAAAGGCCAGCTTTTTCTGCTGCCTTGCCGGCAGAACTGCCTGGGCTTGGGGGAGCCAGGGAGATGTGCCGGGGGCTGGCACGATGCGACATGCAAGCGGCTCACGCACAAGGACCTCTTCGCGAACCGGAAAGTGGCTAAGGCTGCTAACACAGCCCTGACCATGAGATTGTTCGTGCAACAGTCCGAGGCGTTCGTTCTGCTGTTGCTCACCGGGAACGTCCAGGCTTGCGTCCAAATACAGCACTCGGCTCTTTCTCTGGTCCGGAAAAGCTTCAAGCGCCTGCTTGGTGTTAGCCCCTCTCGCGGTGACAGTTGCAGTTGGATCAGTTGACCGTGGTGACAGAATGGAGCTTGACTCGTCATCACCAGCAACGCTTACGACCTTCGGAGGAGGAAGCAATGGGACTGTCACCACATTCTGCTCCACGTGCATTCGAGACCGGCAGTCTTCGCTGTGAACTTGCGTGTCTCCGCGGAAGTCACCAGCCGGGCCCGAGCCGCTCAGGGCTTCTTTGATTTTCGCGCCTGGGCCCAGAGCGGCGAGATCCAGCGTCGGCGCCTCTTCCCGCTTCGCGTGGCCGGGGCCTTTCTCCGATGCGTGCATCCGATTTCCCGCTCTTTCTGCTTCGAGCTCGGCCCGCAGTTGCTGGGAAAGCCTCTGCTGCAGCTCGAGGCGCATCTGCAGTTGCAACTCAGCGTCGCTCGGCCCTTGGCCCGAGCCCAAGCCCAAACGGAGCTTCGAGCGCTCCGACTGGATCGCCAAGCTCGCGGAGCGGCTCTCGGCAAGCTGCTCCTTGGCCTCCGAGAGCTGCCACTGGACCTCCTGAAGAACCCGAGCCGTCCTTGCCGAAGTGTCCTGCACTGCGCAGTGCCACTTCTGCCCCTTCCCCTCCCTACTGCCGCTATAGCGAGTAGAATGCAGCAAGCCCAGCCTCGTGCAATCGATGCAGGAGCACCGCGTGTTGCGACTCCAGCTGTTTGCACCGCACCTGCGTGGCATGTAGCTCCTGAGAAGGCAGGATGGCTCAGACTCTTCGACCCAGTCGTGCCACAGGTTTGGGGGGTCGTTTTGGTTCGCAGGTGCAACGTGGAGTCTTTGCTCGTCACAGGGGATGCCAACGCTTCAGAAGGGATGGTAATCAAGGGTAATTTCCGACGACGGATTTGAAGACTGGAAACGGGGGATATGATATGTGGTCCTTGTGCAGAGAAACTATGAAATTGCGGGACACTTCTCAGGCAAAATCACCAACGAATCGAGATTCCACTTTTCTAAGCGAAGACTCAACTCTGGCCTGGTGCAGCTCACAAGCCCGAGCAGTAGCTAAGCAGCTATGACTAAGACAAGAAGTGGACTGTACTTGTACCATTACTACCTACTGTGGGCAGCAGCACGGCCAGCTCCCAAAAAGATGTCCTTCCGCAAGCCGTGCACAGTCCTTGGATCAATGCCATGCGCATACTCCGTCCAAAGTAGGGGTCTTTTGCGTCTTGGTTCTGTAGCCTTGCTGCTCCTGAACTATTCGCCTGAAGCCTGTACTTGTGCGAGTTGGGCGTCGCCTCTGCTTGGAGATGCTCCTGCTTCCAGACGGACGCCCGTGTCCGCGAATCGGCCAACTCTTGGCAAAGTGCTTGCGACATGGCCTCTGTCTCTGGCCCAACCTCAGGAGACAGGAGAACACAAATGCCTGGACGATCAGACAAAGAGTTTCCTAAGTTTGTCGTTTTCGGTTCATCCACCTGCTCCTTCGCCAAGGTTTTCTTCGCCTCGTTTGCGCTCTGCAGCTCCTCGGTGACCTCCAACAGCCGTTCCAACAGAGCCACGTTCTCCTTCGCATGATCGCACGGCGGCACGCCCTGCGTCTTACAAACGGTCGGCAGCATCTTCTCGTAAAGATCCTGCATGAGGCGGTGCTTGCTCGCAAAATTCCTGTGGTCTTGCTCCAACAAGTGGTATTGCTGTAATCGAGATTCAGAGGTCGCAAGTTCGCTCATCAACTCGGCCACTCTGCTTTCCCACGTCTCCTGAGCCTCAACGGCTTCTGTGGCCACGGCCCGGGACGTGTGCCTCTCTATTTCCAAGGTGCGCTCCAGGGATTGTGCCCTCTTCCAGGCTTGGTCCCGTTCCTGCTGCACTTCGCAAAGCTCCGAAGTTGGGAGCCTCTCCGAAGTGATCATCGAGGGGAGGCTGACTCCGGGAACACCAGCATAGAGCCCCCGAAAATCTTCTGCTTTGGACCTGCCGTCCAGTGCAGAAGAAGGACTGCGCACTGGACTGCCCGTAAGCATCTTCCATGCCAGCGGCCTATGTAAGCCTGCGGTCCACAAGCTAACCTTGATTCTATGAGTCCTTCATACATGTCTAGCACTCTTTTAAGAGAGTTTTTCTACCGGAACCAAAGCTTGTGCTTGCTTGACCGAGTTGAGACAGTGGATGGACATAGATGATGCAGAGCTGCGATTACTCAAGGTCTCTGGCTCATCGCGAGCCCAGCGGCTTCATCAAACATAGAAGGAACATCCTTATTGGCATATTGTAGTATATCACATGCTATACTATAAATTATCGACAAGGGATTTGTATTCTCGATCCGTGTCTTGTAAGGAGAGATCACTTCATGGTGAGTTGCTTGGAGGCTCTTGACTTCCTTCAACTCTCATTCCGGTAGAGCCTGCCATGGATTCGGCCGAAAGCAAAAGTTTCCAGGGGGTCAGAAAAGCAAATTCTCTTGAGGCTCTCGGCTCCCGAAGCAACTCCTCCAGCCATGCTGGGAAGTCGCTCAAGGTACATCCCCCGTCTGTTCTGACATCCCGGGCATTGCTGTCACACACAAGCTTCGAGTGCCTTTTAATTCTAATCTTGGCGATCACAGACTGTTTGCTGCGTTTTCCCGCCCTCTGTACATGTCTCGGGCAATTCTGCATGCACACATGCACCAGCAGCTAGGGCAGGTCTTCGTGTTGGAAGCATTGGGTCGGGTTGAGCATTCCACGAATGCCTCTGCGAATTTTAACCAAGGTTTACCAGCTCAGCTGCTGTGCTCCATACAGATGCGCGGCCCTAAAAAGTCGCCTCGCCGGCAACGATCTCCAGGGAGGCCTCATGCTACAGCGACGATTCACTGAATCCTGAATCAGCACTGAAAGTTCGCGCCACAGCTAGGTGACGGGCCCCTCGCCAGCCGGAGAGAGGGCCGCGTCTTGCGAAGCTTTCTTCAACTTGCAGTCAAAGCTCCGTGGCCAAGAGGAACATCCCGGGAACCCCACACCTCCGGGACAAAGCGCTGCAAGGGAATTGCGGTTTCCAATGTGTCCCTTCTAAGCTCCCCTTTTGCAAGCTCGCCAACAGTCATATCTCGGTTTCGCTAAGTGTGGGCTGCCTTGCGTGCTTCAAGCGTGTTTGCCTACATCAGGGATCCAGCTTAGTTAACCGCCGCCGACAGTGTTGCAAACACGGCCTCCCGGAAATCCCGTGCAAAGTCCTCGCATGCTTAACGATGCTCTGCTTTCTTGATCTCGTGCTTGACACGAAGTACTAGGATGCCTGAGTGCATCCTACACCCTACCCTGACAAGTATTCCATCGGTGCAAGAATGTAGGCTCTCCTTGTCCGCATCAGCTCTCCTTGGCCTGGTCCAAGCGACAAGAATCATGTACCTGCAGTAGTCCATAAACTGTGAAGAAGGGCCGCTGCCCGGCGGCAGAAGCGACGTCGAACAGATTGCCGCTATTGATGTCCTGAGCAGGTGGTACGATACTGTTCCGCATGCAAGCGCACATAGACAGCAAGTTGTGGGACGTCGAAACATCCCGCATCCTGATTGAGTTCAGCCACAGTTGCCGTGGGCGTGGACCAGGCATCAGCGCCTGCATGCGCGGCATTCTCGTGAAGTCGATACAACAAGCGTCAATCAATGAACTCAAAGGTTAGAAAAGGACACCCTGTGTGCCTTGGCTTTCCTCGTGGGTCCTCCCTGGCAGCGCGCTCTCGGGCAAGACCTGTGTCGAGAGCTTTCTGGAAGCAAGCATCAGGCAGAGCATCCCAAAGATCCACAGGGCTGCTTGCAGCTCACGATTGCCTGGCTTCCCACAAGATTCGAGCCCCAGCCAGTCGTCTGTGCCCTTGAAAGCTTCGCAGGATCGCTCTTTCGAAGTCAAGATCTGGAGCACCGAGTACCCTGCCCTGGCCGACTGGGCTGCGAAGACCAACTACCTGAGTGAAGTTTGGGTCAACTGTCTCAGCTCGCAGCTCTGTGGCTGCCAACTCAGGCCCAGGCCTGACAGCTTCCCTGCGGAGCTCAGGACAGCGAATGCCTCCTCCAGCATGAAAGTCACGACAGCATCGTGCCAGTAAGACGCTAGACTCTAGACACCCTCCTGTTCAGAGAGCACTTCCACCGTGGGATCCTGGTCAGCAGATTGGGGACAGTCAAAGTCCCGAAGGCGAAGACAGAAGCTTGAGGCAACAGGTCGGACGTGCCACGGGATCAACAGCCGAATCGTCAAAGGCCCATCCACGCCTCAGCACCGGCGAAGGATCCGGAGCCTAGTCCGAAAATCCCATGTGGCTCTAAGGGTTCGACCATCCAGCAATCTTTAGATACACTCGGCCATCCAGTCCTGCAGAGGCAGATGAGAGGAAGAAATCAAAAGGCAGGCCACTTCACGAACAGGACGTCCTGGTGCTACAACCGAGGCTTCAAAGATGTCCCCTCTGTGAAGCACGCTTCCCGTCCGCGGCGCATTGACGTTGGGACCTCGGATCCAGGAGTTCTCCCGATGCTGCACCAGACTTTTCCTTTCAGTTGTATTCTAGCAACGACTCGGATCTTGTGTCCTCGCAATGTCATGACAACCATTGCGCAGCGGCAGAAGAACCAGCAACGGCAGTTACTACGAGTTCGAGTCTCCAAGGCGGCGTGACTGGCGCAGCACTCTCGGACGTTTATGTGTGCTGTCCGGTGCTCGCTGGTTGCAGGCACGAATCAAAGGAGCTCGCAGCCATAGTGAGACACTCACAACAACTTCGCGCATACTGCAAGCTTCACTGCTTACATTTGTGTTTCCTCAGAGATTCCAGCAAACAAAACTCTGCAGACCTGACTCTGCGCCTGCACTGCAATCTGGAAAACATGTCACTGCTCAACCACACTCACAAGAGCACTGCCCCAACACGAGACCGAGCATGCAGCCGGCTCGCACACCCAGTCCCCTTGCCAGAGAGGTGAAGCAAGCACGGATGAGAGCTGAAACTATCAACTGGTAGCCTCATGTGCTGACGTTGACTGCAGCTTGTAGGCTAGCCCTTCTGGGCCTTGTCAGCACTCTGTACAGACGCCGGCTTCCGGAGTTTGGTGGAACCTAGGAAGCCGCTTATTGGGCACTGTAGACCAAACACCAAGCCCAGCATGAGTTCCTGACAATCGGCGCGTTATCTGCATGACTGCTGTCTGGCGACCCTGCACCAAAGCCAAAATGGACAGCAATTCAAAGCAACGGCATGATCTTTCTTTTTGCAGGGCATCTCACAACAAAGCCCAAACTTCTCGAACGGGTCAATTGACCGCAGCCTCCTCTGCCGACGCCGGCCTCGGTCACCCCAGTGAGATGATGATGAACTTGCTAAACTAAACTATACTATACTTACCAAACTTGCTGATCGCAACCTGATAGTCGTGAGCAACAGCTGCCTGTCCTCTGGAAGCATCAAGCATGGCCGAAAATCATTCCGGAACAAATGGCAGCATCCCGGGACATCATGATGATGATGATGCCGATGATGTTGATGACTCATGATGATGATGATGATGATGATGATGATGATGATGAGGATGATGATGATGATGGTGGTGGTTATGATGACGTTGATGATGATACTGGTCGTGAAGCTTTGCACTGATGCCAAGCTTCACTGTAACTGTAGTAGAAAGCTTTCCGAGTAACTGCAACATGGGCTAACATGAACCCGTGCACGAATGGAGTCCTACGTGTGTCATCCGACCTCCGAAGTGCGGAGAGCAGAAACTCCTCATTTGCATACAGGAAAACCTCTGCTTATTCAGATGGGCTGGCGAGAGCCAATGTCACCCGGTGTTTATGCATTGCAGTCGGTGATGGCGTCTCAAAGTGCGAACATTCGCGGCCTTCTTCACTTCACAACCGTTTCAACACCGGGCTACGGTCTACGGCGCAAGAGCTTCGCCACATACTATGTACCCTTGCACAGGCGCATTACTCACTCCAATGTGCTCTAAGTCTTCTGAAACTCCCCTATCTTGCGGCGCAGCCCATCACTCGGGGCGGGGCCACAGAGTTAGTTAAGCGGCTTGGCACATAACCTGCGATCGCACACGGGTCCGTCACAGGCATCGCTTCGCTGAGTCTCTCCAAATACTGAGTAGCGGAGTCTTTCCGATGATTTGTTCCCTGCAGATGCCTCGTGTTGGCAAAGGTCGCCGCGGATCCGTCGAAGCCTTGATGCTGTTTTGCACCGTCTGTCGGCGCCCGGGTGGAGTGTGAACTGGTGTTTGATGTGTTCGAGCACGGAGCTGCGCTTGCAGTTGCTGCTGCTGCTCCTGAATTTGAAGCTGCTGCCGATGCAACTGCTGCTGCAGCTGCTGAATCTGGTCCTGTTGAGATGGCTCACTGCCTCTCTGTCTGCTTTGAGGCTTGCCAAGGTTGCCTCAGCGTGATGCAGTTGAGTTGGCAGGCGTTCAGACACATACGCAAAGGGGGACTGAGGTGTTGACCCCGGATGGGATCGCAGAATCGCAGATCCAGCCTGAAGCGGGTCCCCACTGCAGCAAATTGCCAAGTTTGGCGAAAAGAAAAGCTCAGGCTGCATCCGGTGTTCAGCTTCTCCTCCGCTCCGCCCACGTGTGCGAAGTGTCTCTCTCGTAGAATAAGACGGGAACCAAAACGCCCCGCCGGCCTGCATTCTGCTCCAAGGCCTCTTGGCAAGGCCTGAGAGGGTCGGACATGAGGCTGGGAAGGAAATCACTACTCCTTGCACCAAGTGGAGAAGCACTGCTTGAAACCAGGGAAGCTTCAAAGTCGTTTGATTCAGAAGCAGTGTAGTGATTAATGGGCGCAAGCTGGCCTTGCTCTCGGGGCGCTCGCGCTCGCCGAGCGGAGGAAGGACCGTCTCAAGGCTCCAAGCTCCTGCGAATCTCTCAGCAACACCGAGCGACAGGACCCGACACTGTGACCGGACGCTCTCCCTCTCCTGCGCCTCCGTGTGCCATTTTGAGGCCGTGATCCCTGACGGCGTCCTGGAAAGCACTTATTGCCGAAAGGGGGGGCATCTTAATCTTGACTGCCCTGGCCCAACGTGGAACCTCCTGGAGTCGGATCGCTCTGCCCTCGGGCCTGCTTTGGGCCTCCGAGGCGGCGGTTTCTGTGCGCGAAAGCCGACCTGGCCTCGTTACGTCTGGGGCCGCGGCCCAGGGTGGTGGACTGGGATGTGACCTTCCACCTCGCCGGCTTCCTCGGTAAGACAAGCTGAAGCCTCTATTGATAGTGGTAGCATATCTCAGCTAACCCTTCTGCTCAACATCTCTGGCTCTGAAGTCCCAAAGCTGTAGGTTGCAGCTGTTTGAAACGTACATGTCTGCTTGCTCTAATTATGTATAGCTGCTTGCAGACGAATGCTGTCAACTGCTCCTCATGTACTTTGCAGCTGCACACAGACGACGAAACAGAATGGTGTCGACATCTACGATGGCAACTCCCCCGAAACGGAGGAAAAGGCCAAGGACAGACGAGGAACGAGCGAAGCAATGAGCATCCGCTCCGCAGATGTGCAAGACGCGCAAGCACTGCGTTCCTCGCTGCGTTTGACTGCTTGAGTCCTGAGTTGCCTCCCGGTCACATTGCATGCATCTTTGAGAGCGAGCCAGCAAGGGAGTGAGGAAGCCCCCAAGTGAGTCGAGAAAGGACGCGCTGCGAGTACGAAGTCGTCGTGGCACGGCTCACGGGGCTGTCGAATTGCTGAGGGGCTTGCTCGTCGGGTGGGGACGACCTCCTCGTGCTCGTGAGCAGAAGCACCTGAGGAGTCAAATTTGGAAGGCGCAGGCGATGCACAGGCGCTGAATGCAGCTTCAGAGCATACTTCTTGCATCTGTAAGTTTAGAAAGAACTTTCGCAGGGCTGCATGGCAAGCTGCTGCTGTCCCGCGGGGAGAACTGCAACTCTTCACTCTCCGAGTCCTGAAAACGACACGCAGAAGGATCACTGAGGCCGTGCGGGGACACGACAGCTAGTATGACAGCGTTTGTTCCGAAACTGTTGCGCTCCCTTCTTCTGCTTCGTTGTAAGGACGGAACATGACAAATGATGACAAATGCCCCCATACGTGATGAGTGATCTGGTTTAGTTGAGCTTCTCGAAGCCGTCCCCCTCCAACGTGCATCCCGTTAGGTAGGATGTCAATACTTCTGCAGCCTAAGAGACCGAGCTGTGCTCCACGAAAGGGCCTAATATTCCTGCCCTGCAAAGAAGGAGACTTGGGCAGAATCAAAGGCTTGCGAGTTTTGCTGGCATCCTCCGGCAAAACATCTCTGCCGACCCATGGCAGGCTGCTGTGACACGTCTTGACCGCTTCTCTTCGGGAGTCCTCGAGCCACTTTTGCTCGTCTTGCGCTTTTTCTCGTGGCTGGGCCTCACGTTTGCAAAGAAGAGTCTTCTTCGCTGGCCCAGCTACTAGTACACCTAGCATGCGTGATGTGACGTCTGCGATCATCTGCGGGTCTGAGCCAGGGTGCCCTGATGACGTAAGGCGAGACGGGCGATGCCTGAAGAAGCGCGGGAAGACTTGCAAGTCCTGGGGATGACCTTGACACACGATTTCTCATCCCCTGCTGTGTATAGATTGTTTGTGCTGATTCCGACAAGCAAGTGGAGGGCGACCAACCGTTCACCAGAGCAGCCATGCATAATCCACCCTGGTGATACCATCTGAGACCAAAGCATCCATTCCTAAACCACGAAACCCCATGTATTTTCCGTGCCTTGCATCTTTGCAATGTGGGCTTGCTTCTTCAAGCAATTTCCTCTTGCTTCTGGCAACCACTTGTGTGAGTTCCAAGATCTCGTCCCAATCCCACGCTTCACAGTGTGATCATCGGCTCGGTGGCTCGGTGGCCGCCCTGATAGCCCTATTCACCTGCAACACCGACCCTAGGATAAGGAAAACCACCCATCGACAGGCCTGCGCCCCGAGGCGAAACGTGCTCCGCCTGCTCTTGGCGGCCTTGGGGGCAAGCAGTCAGAAAACTGATTCACAAGGAGTGATGGTTCGATCAAGGGGAGGACATCCACCGGCCGCATGGCGCTGACTCCGCCGAGTGCTGCAGGATCCTGGCATCAAGGTTCTACGTCGCGCGCACGCGCTCTAGTCGGAACGCTTCGCGCAGCGCTCCTGCCGTATGGCTGGACCGGCTATGCTGGATCGCTGGCTGACCCCGGAGGCAGCGCGGGACCGCGGCTGAACCTGATGGGACACGATCACAGCTGACGTTAAGGCCTCTTCGGCGTCTCTTGCCTTGCTCGTTCCGGGTGCACTGGACGCTCGCTGTTCCCTATTCTTGGAAGGAGCCTTCGCAAGCAAAAAGGCCGGAAGGAGTGAGAGGCTTTATCCAGCTGCCGCGGGCCGCCTCTTCCACGGAAGGCCGTCTGGACGGCCGCCTGGCGCTCGGCGCGAAGCGAAGCAAAGCGGCGCCGCTTTGGGCGCTTCTGGTGCTCCGGCCTTGAAGTGCTGCTTTCCAGCGCCTCGGCCGCCTCGGTCTTCTCCTGGGTGTTGCAAACGGTCCCGGCGGTCCCGGTTCCGCCGCCTTCGGTCCTGTCGGCCTCGACTTTGGAAGCTCGACCGACTGTACGACGCTTCTCCAGCTCATGCTGCCTAGGTCCTTCGGCTTCTCTCGCCTTGGCCTTGGCCTCTTGGGACTCTTGCTGAGCTCGAGCTTTCTGTTCCGAAGCCTCGCGCAACTGCTGCTGCTCTGCCTCTGCTCGCTCTCGGGCCTCACGTTCTCGCAACTCTCGCAGTTCTCGCTCTCGAGCTTCACGTTCCTTGATTTCGCGCTGCTCGCGCTCTTGAGCTTCACGCTGCTTTGCCTCTTGCTCCTGCGCCTCGCGTTCCCTCGCCTCAGCTTCACGATCGGTCTCCGCGCTGCCCTCCTCCTTCGCGGCGAGCTGCTTCTCTGCTGCTTCTTCTTCGGGCTCTGCCATCTGCCCAGTTTTTGTCGCATCGGGCTTGTGCACCTGCATCAGAAACCGTGAAGCCGTTTGTTCAAGTTCAACTGTCAAACAGAAGTGGCTCCGCCTGTTCATCTGCTTCCTGGTCTTCTTCCTCCGCTTCTTCTTCTTCCTCCTCCTCTTCCTCCTCTTCTTCCTCCTCCTCGCCCTCTGCGTCCGATGCCTTGTCCTCCTGCGGGCTGCCAGGTCGCATGCGAGTTGCCAATCGGGAGCCTAAGCCTAAACCCCAATCTGCCTCCGCCTTGTTCGCGGAGGGAGCGGAGGCCTGTCGATTGACCAGGAGATCTCTGCTCAAGCAGATTCGGCGACCCGCTTAGGACGAGCATCTTTCCAACCCGGAATATGAAAATGCAGTGCGTGCTTTTCATCGAAATGCCTCTGTCTCAGGCTCCTCTTTGATTGTCCTGGACAGTCCATGACAGTCCGACACCATTGAAGCACTGCGCACAGAGATCGCGATTGGCAGAATCTCAGCCCTCCCATGTTTGACAGAGTGTATCGGGTTGTGCCGGATTGCAGTAGCAATCAGTAGCACAAAAAAGGGGCGGATCGTGTTCACAAGTCTAAGCTTCGGGCTTGAGCTCTGTCCTAGCTCCGGCTGGAGTTGGGATCGCCCGGTTCTCAGTTCCGCCGGATGCATGCGCTGGAAAACGGCCGGGGAGCCACTGCTGAGCCTGTGGCCGGAAAGAGGAACCTTAGCTTGAGTGAAAAACTGGCCAGTTTGCATCGGGTCCTCAAACAGAAGCTATAGCTGATTGATCCCCTGGCAGGGTGCTTCCAAGGCGCTGCCAGATGTGAGCTGACTGAGCATCTTTTGCTGGCGTAAGGAACTCGCAAGATCCAGGCCTCAGAAGTTTCAGGGCCGGGTTTGTAGTTCAAGATGAGGGTCCATGATTGCCGGTGACTTTCAGACGTGTGGATCAGGAAACCATCCAAGAATCCAAGAGCATTTTGGATGCATGCTGGCACGGTCGAAGCATACTTTGAACGTGCCGTCGGCTGCACGAAAAATGGGCAAAAGTCATCACCGGCTGCGGCTCTCACGCACTGCGACTTGAAGAGTCTAGGCATCCACCTGCCTGCCGTGCGCCGCAAGCATGTGCTTTGTCCCTCCTGATGTCGTTCTCGCCCAAGTGCCTCTCATCTTGAGTACGTGTTCGCCGGAAGAAACATCTCTCATGTTCAGAGCATAGAAGCAATAATGTCGTCTGGAACGTCGCGGCGCTGAGAACCTGAGTACGAAAGACTCGCAAAGTAAATTCAAAGAGAAAGGAAACAGAGTCTGCGTGGACTGGTCTCAGCAAAGAGGCCATCCATGCTGCCGGCACAGCGATGCCCTATGTCTGCTTCCTCCTGCCAATACCCCAGCTCCGCAGCACTAATCCTCTGTCCTTTGTCTGCATGGGACACTTTCTCTTCAGCAAGTCGTACAAAACTCAGCCCGGCCGATTGCAGCGTCTGCTGTAGCCGAGCTTGAGCAGCGCTCGCCTCTTCTTGGCCTGAGCTTTGCGAGTCGTAGCTTTCCTCCACGCAGTTCGCGAGCTTCAGCAAACGATCTCGGAGCCACTGGCCAGGGCAGTCGGCCAACTGCTTCATGAGCCGCGGCTGCAAAACGCGTATTTCTGCTCCCTTAGACTCAAGTCCTTCCGGCAGGGGTAGGAGAGAGGCCAGGGTCTCTTCTGCCAAGTAGGTGACAGCGGCGAAATGCGAGTCCGCCCGGCCAAGAACCACCACCTCCATGCCCATTCCGCCACTTTGCAGCTTCCGAGTGTTACCCAGGCCAGGGAGCCAACCCGAAAAACCAGGGGCCCTCAGAGCGACCGCATAGTTGCCCTGTTCCATCTCCACCGACGAATCCAAGACCATGCGAACCGAGCAGGCACCTGCCTCTGCAGTGAGAGGAGTGGTGTATCCTTGTATTTGCACGGACCGCGCTGAAACCCGGCTGGATGCCTCCAGTAACGCCAAAGCTGGCGCGGCTGACACGCTCAAAGGAAAAACCACGGAGGCCTTGCCGTTGGCACAGATGACCGGCGCTCTGGCTCTGGTCTCAGCGGCCTTATCCGTCTCAGCCATCTTCGAAGTGTGCTTGGGGAGGCTCCAAGAGAAGCAGCCTCTCAGACAATCAGGCATGGCATGAACAATCCAGCATGTTGCGGCCGCACTCGATTGACCATGTAGTCTCTTGTCAAACTGCTTCGTGCACAACTAAAGATCGGATGCAGGCATGACTCCTCTGGCGACTTGCCATTAGCTGACACTTGCTTGACCCAATGGCTCACTCTTCGTGGAGGGGCTTTCGCAGCTTCCAGCAGGACTCAGGACTTGCCAAGGGGGGAACTCCATCAACAACAACCCTCAAGTCCGGGTTGGCCGCTCCCGTTGCGCCGCGGCTGCTTTCGTCCACCTGAGACAAGAAAAAGCCACCCAATACCTCTCCTGGGCAGTCGGGCCTCATTTGTGCAGCCGCACGAATCGTGATGGTGGCCACGGCCTCAACACCAGTCACTAGGAGTCCTAGAGCTGAGGATCGCCCCCGAATGTAAACCCTTTAAGGCCGGATCTCCTTTCACATTCTGCAAGGTCAGCCTTGCAACTACGCAGCTGCAGCTTCGACCCAACGAAGTCCCAGGTCCCGGGCTGTCGGATGTCGAACCTTGGAAGACGCAAGCGTTGATTGAAACTTAGATCAAAGAATCTGTTGGGTTCGAGTCCAGGCAGCTGGTCGGATTTTGCCAGCTGCTTGATGTTGCCAAAGTACGCGCCTGAGAGTAGTCTATTATTGACCTCATGATCATGGCTTCTGCTGGTGCAGCAGACGAGGCCGGTACCAAGGTGAGTGCCTGCCAAATCCGCAATCGTAAGGCCTGGATTTGCAGACATCTTTCCCCTCATCGAAGCTGCGGTTCTGAGCGATGCCTCCGCTGGGCTCCTGGCGGAGATCTGCATCGGCACCAGTATCGATCACCAGAAAAGCCTGCCACGCAACTCCCACGCACTGCAAGGGCAGGGAACAGGGAACTCGACAAGAGATTTCCTGAAAGCAGGCCGGGCGGACACACCAATCCAGCTGCGCCTTCACACCCCCTGTCGCGATCAACAAACGGCATATGGCTGCTGGGGGTAATGACCGGATAAGGGCTCCGACTCTTTGCTGCCAAGAAGATTTCAGACGGCAAGTGTGTAGTCTTGCCATCGGGCATGGTCACGTACCAATGACAGACCATACCTGCGCTGAAGATCTCTGAAGCATCTGTTGTTCTCCTTACAAACACAGGAGTTTAAGCGGATGCTAGCAGTGGCTAAGGCCCATACCATCTTCCCCGCCAGGTGGATTTCCCTCGGGAAAAACCTCGCTTCAGACAGGCGCGAGCCACAAAGCATTTCATGCCGGGCAGGGCTCCCACGATTGTGTCAGCAAGCAGCACGCACAGCTGTGCTGACTTGTCGTGCCCTCAGGGGATTGTAGGATCTTCAATGTGTACATGCCCTACGGGACACCGAAGGCTCAAGCGAATTCCTGACATCCCAGCTACCTCGGCCAAGATCTGCGACAGAAAACGCCAAACTCGTCGCAACTCGGCTCCGACTAAGCCGCTAAGCCTGGTGCGCGAACTCCTCGACCCGCCTGTCTTCATGGGCCTAGTGCAAGCTTTGGAGGGTCATGCAACTTCAAACAAAAATCAGCTTCCGCCTCACAGCAGCAGTTGAACTGCCATGGCTGCGCATCACGCAGCAAGGCTGTGCATATGTACCCGAATTAAACAACCCGCCTTAAAGCCGCGACTGCCTGGAGGCGACTTGTGCGAACCAACGCCTTCTGTCCGCCCACAAAGCTCCCCATGACTTCAATGCTGTCCGTACTGGAGTTTGCCCTTGAGCCGCAGTTTCAGACTGGATCAGAAGATATAGAAGACGTTTGTGTTTCTCGCAGGTTTCGCAGCTGCTGAATCGCGTAGTCATGACATGGATCTTTCGAAGGAGCATGGATTTTTCAGATTTGACGTGCTCGCGGGTCGTTCGGACCTGGGCCCAGAAAGCCGAGAGCGAGCTGCACACCTGGGTGCTGACATGCTCCACGGTTACATGGGAGTTTCCAAGAATAGGGGACCCTGCTATGGTACAGTAAATGGTAGGATCCTTACTTGTTATAAGGACCCTAAAATGAGGTACCTTGCTCTAGCGAACAGTGGAGAAAGCAGACTGCACATGGCAAGGAAAACAACAAGCTCGTGACGCCGTTGCAAGTCGATGTCCACTACATGCGCCTGGCAGAGCACTCGCAGGCTTACCACGACAGCTCAGAGACACGGACACGTCGTGGAAAAGCGACGTGCCCGGCATGCCTTTGCTGCATTCTCCAATTCCGCTCGCACATGGCCTCGACTCAGCTCCTGGATGGAATGGAGTCGGGTCTTGTTCTCGACAACTGTGCTCTGCTCGGTTTAGACGACATGCATGCATACATAGATACATGCAGCAAAGGGACGGATACATAGACGAACAGACAGAACGCATATTGATAACGAGCTTATCTCTAGAGCTTCTCTACTGCTCAGTTGCTAGTAGTAAGAAAGAAACCCAAAGCCCTCTAGAGTCTGGGGCTTGTTTTACCGTTGTTATTTCTCTGGCTCTCGCTCTCTTTTTTGCGCCAGGGCTGGGACGACGGCGAGTCCCCTCCCCCCACCCCCCAAGTGCAGTAAAGGGTATAACCTGCAAGTTGGCCCGGCTTTTGGTGTGGCTGTGAGATCCATGCTGCGTGAAGTGCAGGAATTTGCTCTCACTACTACGAAGGCTCCTGTTACGACGCTAGTCGGCTTCTCTAGCAACATAAATCTGACCCTCTCTGTGTTCCGCGTCCTTTCCAGAATAGTCTATCCCATTGACCATCTTTTCTCTCCGCATGCACTGAACGAGGAGAGATGAGTGTGGGGCCGGGCTCCTCGCAAATGGAGGCATGCTGCCGGCGCATTGTTTCAGCCACCTGTCCAGTCTCGGATGCAAACGCGCCAATGAAACCCATGCCAAACTGGCCAGGTGCACCACATCCGAACATGCGCCAACAACATTTGCTCGTGCACCTGGAAGATTCGACACAGGGTCAATGAGTCCGAGGCCATCTGAAGAGCTGGGTAACAGGCCCCACTGGCGCAGTGATTTCACAATTGCTGCTTCTGGACCCACAACGTACACCAAGGCCATCAGGTTGTTCCTGAGTGCCTGTGAGGAGTTGAGTTGCAAAGGACCATCCGAAAAGGGCCCACCGGTGTTCCCTCCCGCCTCCTCGGTGAATCGCTGTTCCTTGTCCTGTAGCCAACTCTATGAGACTCACCGTGGCTTGGGGATTGCTGATTGCCTTGGCAACGATCGACACGGCAATCTCCATGGTCTCGCCCAACTGCGCCTTGCATTGACAAGTGTATGCAGTCAGCGAGCAGACTCGGGACAGCAAGTGTGGCCACCTCCATCGTCTCCGAATTTTGCCGGAGCCAACAGCCGACGTTGGGCGCAGCGCAACAAACCTTGAACTCCAGGCGTGAGCAAGCAGCATCCGCAGCTGGGCGGCTAAGAAACCTCTGAAGGAGTCTTGGGGGATAGCTGCAGCCAGCAATTTCACGGCCTCCTCTCTCAAATAGGAGGCCTCCAGACATCCCATCTCGTTATGCGATTCACATGGATTAACTGAAGAACCGCGCAAACTCGGCCTGCTGATTCCAACCATTCTCTTGGCTCTTGGCAAGCGTCAGGGCCTGCAATTCCCTATGCCTATTTCGGACTCGAAGACATCTCTCCCAGCCCTCGTGCAGTTTCGCGTCATGCAGCCCATTGCCCTCGATAGCTCGGACTCTCTGCCGTAAACCCCCTGTCGATTCGCACATGTCGCCGACCCTCCATGATGGCGACTTGCACGGAAATCGTGCAAGCTGAGAGGCAACTTCGGGACATGCTCCAGACTCCAGGCCTTAGTTGCAGCCTGCAGGCATTGGAAGAGGTGCTCCTCGCAACTTCACCGAGAAAGATGGGCCCAAGCATAGACCCGCATTGAGTGTTTAGACTCACGTGGACAGGTAGAGACGTTCAGAATTGCTGCTGTAGCAATGCATTGCTATAGTATGAGACTAAACAGCGACGTTGTGGACGTCTCCTCCGTCACTGTGGTGTCAATGCCATGCCTTGACATGACGAGAATGCTCACACCCCTTATCAGAGCAGCGTGGAATCAGTTCCCTCCCCACATAATCATGAGCCCTGGACTGCGCCACGGCGCTCAAGGCACCGCACGCACTCGTCCAAACGATCTTGGCTGAGTCCAACGCTCGCAACACACTGCTTCAACGAATGCTGTAGGTGGACTTAGTTGCGTAGCCTCTCACACTGAGGGTGACAGAACTGGCAGGTCGGTAAGTGCTTCAAAAAGAAAGGAGGCGTCTTGTCAAATTCCCGAATTCGATCTGCCCACAGAAGTGCACCGAGGTCAGCGCTACGTTTTCGGGAAACGCGGACATGGCGGTCAGGACCTGTGGCGAGCGCCGCCAAGACATTGAAAAATCTCGGACCTGAAACACTGTGCCGTTATCTCTTTACGTCCTTAGTTTGTCTTTTTGTCACAGTGCATACTGACTCTGACTGCTGGCCGTTCGCAGCCTGTTTCCGACCCATGATCTACAGGTAGTGGCAAAAACTCCAGCGGTGCACAACGGCTCCGAGACCGAGAGGCTAGGACGGCACTCTCGTACACCCAATTTCAGTGCTCTTCTACCCCCTGTGGGTCTACACTGCTTACTGCCATTTTTTCTGCTATGACCGGAAGAGCAACAATCATACTAATCTCTACAGACTCTAGCCACCACCATCGCCAGCACATATCACTACCACCACTATTGCTGCGGCTACTACTGCCACTACCACAGCTGCTACTACCCTTAGCGCCACTCCCGCTACCATTACTACAGACTAAACGACGATGATAACGCTGACGACTGCTGCTGGTCTCACAAGAACTTCCACTGCCGCAGCAACGACAACTTCCACCACCACCACCACCACCACCATTACGAGCATCGCCATTGCCACCATTACCACCACCACGACAACCCTCCTGCTGCTGCTTACTACGACGACGACGGCGACTACTACTACTACTACTACTACTACTACTACTACTCCTACTGCTACTGCTACTGCTACTGCTACTGCTACTGCTACTGCTACTGCTGCTGCTGCTACTACAACTACTACTACTACTACTACTACGACTACTACGACGACTACTACTACTACCACCTACTACTACTACCTACTACTACCTACTACTACCTACTACTACCTACTACTACCTACTACTACCCACTACTACCCACTACTACTACTACTACTACTACACCTACTACCTACTACCTACTACCTACTACTACCTACTACTACCTACTACTACCTACTACTACCTACTACTACCTACTACTACCTACTACTACCTACTACTAGCTACTACTACCTACTACTACCTACGACTACTACTACTACTACTACTACTACTACTACTACTACTACTACTACTACTACTACTACTACTACTACTACTTCTACTACTACAGTTCTACGGCACCACGACACTCAATGGTGAAGATGGACTCATGCCTGTTCATGTGCGTCGTCGCAGCAACTGACAGAACAAGGATGTAGCAGCAACACTTACCGTGTGATGACGTGGTAATGCTTCCTCGGGCATGATGGCGATGACTGCGAATCAGTCAGAGTCCTTGTGTCTTCACCAGTCATTAGTAGTAGTAAAGTTGTAACCATAGCTGTTATGGCAACAGCATACCGTGGCTGTTGCAACTCCAGGCCCGATCTAAGCCTCCAGCTCCGTGGTCTCACCGAGTCCCGGGCCACTCGCATGCAGGCCGTTCTGGCGACCATGTTGGCATCTTGCGCCTTGCGACATGCTGTTTGCATCGGTGATCTACAGCCTGTCATTCCGAACCTCTTGGTCGATTTGCTGGCTGTAAATAGCCGTGAGGGCTCTCAGGGCCGCAATCTGCACCTGCATCCGGCTGCACACGGCGAAGCCACTGGTTCAACAGCTTTCCTCCTGCAACAGTTCTTGGAATCTCCAGTACTGCCCAAGGCTGAGACAGAGAACGACTTCTGGTTGCATTGCATCTCCGTCACCTTTGTCAGGGGCAGGCAGTGCATACATATCCTTATACCTCCGCGGCATCTTGGGCCCTGGCAATGGCAGCCACACCATGGGAGAGGCCAGCGACCCACATCACCACCCCCTGCAGCTTTCCACAATCGCATGCCGCCGTGTCTCCAACATCACACTTGGCAGGTTCGACTATGACTTGAAGCATTTTATAAAACACTACAAGACTAGGGAGTCCCTGTCATACAGGCTCACTGGGCTCTGGCGGGGCGCCGTGTTCTGACCGACAGATCTCAGATTCCAAGAACTGCTTGAAGAAAGGCGAACGTGTGCGTCCGAAAGCTTTCGCAACGGTGAACACTCTAAGTGTGACTTGGAGATTGAAAGCATCTTTCCATAAGTATCCAATCGGAAGTAGCCTGACTACGCAAGAAAAGCAGGTCATTTGGCACTACAGCCTAAATTGACTTGCATCCAGAAGAGCATGCTCCTGAACTTGCCACCTACAGTGGTATACGAACGGTAGGGATTGGCAGCGTGGCAGCCCCTCTGCATGGGCCTGCAGACGGGCGTTGGACTCATGCTCGGCACTGACCTTCCAGTGAACCATGCGATGCATACAAACAAGCAGCTTCTGTAGCCGGCTGGCATCCCGAGCCTTTGACAACAAACTTGTTCCAGCGCCGGAACCGCTTGCTGCAGAAAGGCCCTCGCAGATCCTGGAGAGACTCTGCTATCGCGGGCGGATCTTGCAAGCGAGTTCTACCATTCACAACTGCCTGGCCCGCACCATAGACTGGAGCCTCAGCCAAGCATGTCGGATGTGAGTGTGTCGGCACGATCTCAGATCGCCTGCGACCACATGTTGTGTAAGCCTTCAGATATCTTCCTCGCAGGACATCCTACTGGTAACCAGCAAGCACTCTGAAGCACTCAACCCAGGTCTTGGAGCAGCACCCCTGTGACATCTCCAAGAATTCCCCGATAGCCTCGTTCGGGAAAAAGCGCAGCGACATATCCCACAGTTTGCATTCCCAAGAGGCCTCCAGAACAGATTGTAGCAGGCCACTATCGCCACCCTGCAGACGGTTGTCTGGCGAGGCTTCATCACTCATGGCTTGGACAAGACTGGGATAGACGACTACCCTACACTACCCTATTACTACCCTACCCTACACTACTACCCTACCGCCAGGCGCCCCGGACGGAGCGCGACCTTGGCTTGGAGCAGCTCGATGAGCGCGGATGCAGCAACAAGGGCCGCCTGAAATCTAGAGGGGACAATGATTTAGAGAACTACGCGGAACTACCCAGAGCACCACGATTTTGTTCTTGCATGGCTTGTGAACTGTGTGACAACATCGCTGCTATCCTGGAATCGACGATCGATTTCGCGGAAGACTACTGAACGTGAAACAAATCCCGTCAAGCTCCAATGTCTCCGTATTTTGTTACAGGATGTTAAAGAAAAGCATAGTATATTATAGTATAGTATGTTATGGTTTATTTAGTATAGTACAATATAGTCTGGTATAGTTTTAACTAAGCTATGCTACAACCGACCCACAGATCGGTAAAGCTTACAGGCGTCTTGACTTGAAGGCAGAGCATTGTTCATAACTTGTGGCTTATAGCTGAAGCTACTTGAAGGCGCCCGTGACGGCCGAACGTCCTGCCAGACAATTCCTGAGAGACAACTCCCCCTCAAATGATGGCTTGTGTGTTGTTTGTTCAGGTCCTGCGCAGCAAGTGTTGCCAACCGCCGACACTTGGAAGCTGCGTAAGTGCGTCAACACCCCGCATCTACCTCGCTTAGGTTTGGGGTGTTGCTACAGTAACCTGTGGCACATGAGGGTCGCAGACAGCAAAAACTGACTTGAAAGCGGCAGCAAGTTGCATCTGCGGAAACTCAGGATACAAGCAGCAGGAAGTGTTCATCAAAGCAGGCGCCTCGCGCAGAGGTACGATGCCCTGCCATGACCGTCGTCGTAGCAGAAGTAGTAGTAGCAGTAGTAGTAGTAGCAGTAGTGGTAGTAGTAGTAGTAGTAGTAGTAGTAGTAGTAGTAGTAGTAGTGGTAGTAGTAGTAGCAGTAGTGGTGGTAGTAGTAGTAGTAGTAGTAGTAGTAGTAGTAGAAGTAATAGTAGTCGTGGTGGTGGTCCCAGCAGTAGTAGTGGTAGTAGTCCCACGGACTCAGAAGTGTGGAAGCTTCCCAGATACCCTTGCATGAGCAGATCAGCAAACCCCTGCTGCCTCCGAAACATGCAATACGAATCTCCTAAGATCAACGCCCAGGTGCTAGCTAGCTCTCGAAAGATTACAGACCGGAGTGATTCCTTGGAGCTTGCCTCCTTCTGTTGTCACGACTCTCCCATGATTCTGTGACTGCAAAGTCTTTTGCTTGTTACATAATAACAGCAAAGGACAAAGCTATCGCGGGGAATTCTGAAGCAACAAACTCAAGCTGCATCGGTGTATCTGCCTCATGCTGAGTGGCAAAGGCGGCGGTGCGGGCAAGTACGAAGGCCGCCTCTCGGAGAACCTCCGTGTCACCAGCGAAGCTTCGCATGGCCTCGATGACGTTCTGAAGGACCTGCATGGCATGCTCCGCCTCCGCAGACTCCGCCTCCTCCCCCTGACCCCAAGCCAAATCACTCAAAGATCTCAGTGTCTGCTTCACCACGTCGGGATTGGAGTGGGCTCGGAGTGTTCCGAGCAAAGATCCGAAGCCATGGAGCTGCTGTACAGCCCAAAGGCCCCAGTACAGGACACGCCCATCATTCTGGGACCTTTGCAAGACTTGCTCCAAGATGGCCTCAACCCGACGACTGTGGATCTCCCCCGAAGCGCCTCCCCTGCAGAGCTGCGCAATTAAGCGAACGCCCTCTTGCTGCAGCTGTAAACCTTCCCAAGTATCCTTCGAAGGCTGCGACTCCAGAACTTGCAAGAGCCAGTCCCAGCCGTTTAGCTGGAAGAAAGCCACACGCAATTCTGGCAGGGCAGCTAAGTCTCCCAGCAGCTGCATGCCCAGAATCAATAGGTCAGTTTCTGTGGGATGTGCCCGGAGTGCATCAATGATTACACGGGTGAGGGGTACCGCTGGGCATTGCTCCACCTCCTGCCAACGTTTGCTAGCCGTGACCCGTAGAGTTTGCAGAGCCGCTCTCGTACCCGGTGCACTAGGTCTCAGGTGCTCAAGAGCTTGCAACAGTGCTGCCATTCCATGAAGTTCATCCAGTACCGCCAACGCCTCCGTTAGCAGGTTCTCTGTGCAAGGATGTGAGGTCATGCTCCGAACCAACACCTGTTCGACGCCAGCTCGTTGGATGATGTTCCTTGTGGTTCCTTTCGAATCTGCTACAACTGCTTTCAGGAAGCTGACGCCAACCTGTTGCACTTGTGGGTCCGCAAGACCACTTTGCATCTCATCTAAAACATGGACAATTGCAAGCCCGACAACCTGCTCGAGGGCTTGTCTTAGGCGCACAACCGCGCGATTCGCGACTGGCTCGTGAGAGCTGTAATAGTAAGCTGTGTGCAGCCCATGCAGGGCACGGAATAGATCGAGAACGTCGTCGGCTGGCTCAGTCATGGGGCACACACCCGGAGCCTAAGCAAGTGACGGACTTAGCACGCTGAGCAAACATGAAGGCTGTTGCATGAGCGGTTTCGCAGCTACGCGTTTAGGGCGACGTGGCGGGGCGAAGACCTTTGCTACGCATGTCTGATCTGTGAAAGCGGCGAGTTCAAGTTGCACATACACACGTGCTTCTCTTCTTGCGGTTGTCTTTTGTTCCTTCTGTCGTTCTGCATTTCTTTCTGTCTTTCCAGCGAGTATCAGGCAAGGGAGTCTTCGCCCGAAACCCGCGCTGACGCGCACTGGTGTCTCTCCTATCTTATTTGCTAGCTGGATTCTGCAATTTCCCACTGCGACCGTGTGGGAGCAAGGTACGAGCAAAGTCTATCACTCCGAAATCCGCATCCTGCGGCTGTTACATGCTGTTACTGTGAGAATGTATGAGGAAGAGCAACAACGCTGACGCTTTTCTGAAGCTGCTGCAGCGGCCTTGAGATACAAGGAAGCGCAACCGGACTGAATGGGCATGTATGTATAGACGCGCCAAGGCGTATTGATGTCGTTTCAATCGGACTTTCAGGTCAATCAAAGTAGAGGAAAGCTTGCAGTGCTCTCAAACAGCTGTCAACACAAGTGTGCTATAGTTCGGGGATTTGTACTGAAAGGCAGGGCCGTCACTCTCACCGAGGGATCGGCTAGCTCTCATCTCAGCTCGTGCAATAGAAGAGGGAAGACTGAATTCTACCTCCGGTCTCACACAGCGACTCATCTCCAAATGGGCAGGTACCTGGCTGCAGGGGGCTCTCAGTCGGCGGCGCAAACCCATGCTGCAGCCACTGGTCATGTTCATGAATGCACCCTAAGAAGCAACACCATTCATTGAGGGCCACAATGACAAACAAGACCGATTTAGCCTTTTCCGAAAGTTAGACCTCATGTGCGACACTGGGGCTGCCTCCTCCCACAGCAGCTACAATAGCTAGAGCTTAGAAGTGAATACAGACATGCTGTGCAAAGAGTGGGCCTTCTTTTCTCACGCGAGGATCCTTGATGGGCGCACGGACTCGGCCCTGCAGGTTGCTCATTCGTTAAGCCGGAGAGCTTGCGGTAGGCGAACCATGCCTGCAGCACAGTTTTGGCATTTGGGTGACTCCATACTTCGCTCCCCTTTCTATATCTCCGGTCATCAAGTCTCACACCTTTGTCTGCTTGTAGCGAGCCGGGTCGAACCTTGCACGCGGAAAACACAGCGTAGCATAACAAACGCTCGAAGCTGAGAGCTGGACCCTGAACATATGGGAATTGAGTCCGCCGATCGTAGGGCCGGCGTTTCCTCTCAGATTGGAGTTGACGTTTCGTCGAGACGCTCCTGGCTCTAAGGCCAGAACCCCCGCTCGTCTGAGCTGGTCAAGTCCTTCCTTCAGCTCCCTCTACTTATCCCCCCCTGGCTATGTTTTGGTGTCCCGGTGTCGAGGAATGGTAGCAAGGATATTCGAGAGCGAACGCCTCGTCCCGCTAAAAACACGCTGTCCAAGCTGGACGTGCCGCTATCGCCCCGCGACAAGAGACAAGTCGAGGCTCCAACTGACGTTCTCATATCTTATCGTTCTCGCACTCAGACTCTGTGAGACTTTGAGGATGTCGGGCAACCAGATTCTTCAATGCTTCAGTGTTGCTTTAAAAAGACCCCTGGACTCCGCAAGGAGAGTTAGTTCTGTGGGAGCAGAAGGCAAAAAGCGCCCCCCCCCCCGCCTGGAGCCCGGAAATCTCCAGCGCCTCGTCCAGGTCCAAAGACCCGCCTTCCAGCTGGCCGTTGAAGAGCCTGGCAGCTTCAATTTTGGTCAAAAGAGGGGCAGAGGGCAGGGTCGAAGGAGGATCTCCGGATGGCTTACTGCATTTAAAAGCTTTCGACAGAGCCCTGTCAGGTGTTGCAAAAAGTGTAACCGTCAGAGAGATACGGCCTCTAAAGGCCGAAAGTCAATTGGGATCTCGGTTCGTGCTCGAATGACAGGCCGGCCCTTTGCTCATGACATCCACGACCAGACAGCGAGAGAATCTCAAGCTGCTTCAAATTCGAAGGACCAGCTTCTACGCCGACTGCAATGGTGTCGAGATGTTCAATCAGTATCTCCCCGATGGCCTGTAAGCTAAGTCTCGATCCTTCGCAAATCGAACCTAAGCAATGATATGCCATCTGTGCACGCTCAGACTACCTTGCAGATACCAAGGCTCTGGCTCCCTCCCCTATCTGATTCAGGGTGGCGTCGAAGGTCGCGACGTCACAGTCACCGGACCTTTGTAGTTGCAGGACATGTTCACGCCACCTTCTGAGCCACAGCTTGGTGCTGTGCCCGAAGTAGTAGAGGATTCCTGCGCACTAATGCCCAGCCAGGAGTGAGAGACGTCATTCCAACGTCTAGCAACGCGGTCCTCGTCCAGCCGGCCGCCCGGAGACATCAATGGCACCACAGAACATGTCACCTGGCCAGAGATATTGAAGCCACAGCATCACGGATGCTGACACGGACCAAGCCAACGCACATGCAGGCGAACACGCATGCTTCACACCACCACCGCCGTGTCAACTCCGTATATTGTGATGTCGCAGCCCAACAATAACAGCAGCACCACCAGCAGCAGCACGAACGGTAAAACACATGGCAACGACAGCAATGGCGACACAGACGCCAGCCATGATCACGCCTGTTGAGTACAAATTGGTGCCCACATAGATTCCTTGGCATCATTGCGAAGCCAGGCTGGGATATCAGACCGAATCAACTTGAACCAGTCTCGTTCAAGCTCTGACAAGCAATAGCCGGGGCAGCGACCTCCCTTGCTTTCGATCCCAGCTGCTTGTAGGACTTGCTTTGAAGCAAGTTGGGACTGCATCGTCCTCAATGGCATCAACAGAAACCGCGGCTTGTGTACCGCAACATCTTGCTGTGAGCTGCAGACTCAGTCAGGACAGGCAGCCTCACCCGTAGACTTTTCCTTGAGCCAGCATGCCCCTTCTCCGTATTCACGCAGACATGGAAGTGCACGTGGAATTCCAGGCTCCGGTGTCATGATGATGCAGGCCAGTGTCTTTTTGGAACCTGCATGTGCGTGATTCGGTCTCATGGAGATGTGATTGAGCACTTCTGGAGGAAGCATTGAGACTGGTGGGAGTAAGCATGAAATATTAGCTTTCATACTACGAAGTGCACAGCATCGCCTACCTACGAGAGCAAAAGCTCCTAGTAAAGCTCGCATGGAACGGCCGTGGCAAGCCCACGATGCACATCATGGAGCGGTGGGAGGCCAGCATCATAAATTGGGGGGGTGCTTCCGATTCCAATGTGGCGCTGGCTACACTTTACATAACTCAGAGATTCACAGATGATGCCAGCTTCGCCTCAAGCACGGCAAGGCTTGGACGATTCCAAAGCCAAGTCTCAGTTGAGTTTAGATGCAAAACAACACTTCTTCTCTTTGGATGCAACAGGTTACGCAATTACATGAATAGCATCTGAGAAGGCAGCAAAAAGGGGAGTGACACGAAAGAGAGCACCGAGAGACAGATGTGTCAGGTCCCGGCCATGAACTCGCCTCGGGCGACTCATGGCATTGTGTCATGGTCTCGACTCGGCTCATTTCGGCTTCAGAGGCCTATAGCGACGGCAATCTTGGCTGTTGCATTTCGGCTCGTTCATGCTGTTTCTGGCTAAAGAACTGTTACATGTGAATGTCCAGCGCACTCAATCAACAGGCCAGGTGCGAAAACCAGAATCTTGAAACATCCTTTCTGTTCGAAGGGTTCTCTGAAAATAAGTTGAGCAGTTCGCCTGAAGCGCAGAACTTGCAAGCTGCTCTGTGCAAAGGGCACGCGGAGGTGCCTAAATGATATCGCAGACCCCCTGACTGGAGCCCAGCGGGGTGGAAACCGTGGCAAGGAAAATCTCCAGCGTCACTATGGATCGCTGTGAGATGTGCGAAGCAGATATCTGCAAGCATTGGCTTGGCATCAGAGTGGAAAACATGCCAAAAACTATGCCACTGCACAGCCGGCGCCAGCATGGGACCAGCTATGTGAAATGGGGTAATTACGGCCCCCATGGGCTTGGGGTACGAAATGCACGTGTGTAGCCTCACGGACTCTGGCAGGCATGCATACTGGTCCACATTTTGCGCCGGGTAGTGCGTTGTGGCATGAAGCGTTCTACGTGTCTGCAGCTGCACGAGACCTCGAGACGAGAAGGCAGGATTGAATTGCGCTGGAGGGTTGAATCAGGAATCTGCTTTGATGCACCATCTGGGGTCCCTAGGGCACGGACAGCCAATTCCTGGGATCAGGACGCAGCAGCTTCGACCACTACTGTCCAGCTCAGAGACTGCCTCCATGGTCGATCTTCGCCCAACAGCGGCACTTTGCGCTGCCTTTGAGAAGCTCATGAAACAGCCAAGATCACAGCTCTTTGACAAGAGCCCTGCATGGCAGATGGAGCCCTGAAGGCCCGAAACTTCCGGGGAACTGTAGGAATGTGCCTGTCTGGTGGTCTGCTCCACTGCGGCACCGCCTTCCAGTGAATGCCACTTCTTTGCCGGCATGCAAACGGAGTGGTCTGCACCTCCTGCATAGACGGGGTCCAGGACACGGCAGTCCATGCTTGCATGCCATCGGCCTGGCAAGGCGCACGGAATCGCACGGAGCACAAAGCAAGGCTGTCATCGGAGTGGACTGGTCGGCACACCCGCACACCTGTGACGCGTGCCGCAAGTCACTCGCCTCTGCAGAGTCAAAAACCTCGCGCACAAGCAGGAATCTGGCAGCGTGGCTCAGCACGGTGCGTGATGATGCACAGTCCATGTTGCTGAGCCATTGCTTGTACAGGCCTCTTCCGGTGTATCCTCATCCGATGGGGAGACGACATCAACGCAAAACACGTCACCTGGCTTTCAGAGTCTTTCCAGTCAGCCTCAGAAGGATGCGAACTTGCCTCGGGAGCCGCTGCTCTCCGCTGGCCGGCGGCAAACATCCTCCCAGGAATCGAGTCGAACGGTACTGTCTCTCCCTTGGCTGGAAAGGTATCATACAGTACAGTATATTTGATACGAATTAGTCTTATTATTGTTGTAATTTCTATGATGATTATTACTACTACTAACTACTACTATTGACTACTACATTTATGTTACATAGTATTACCTTGTTGATGAATCTAGGGGGCAGCTCCCTCCCTGGCGCTCCTGTCTCGTGCAGGCAGAAGCCGAAAACGGACTCTCCTCAAAGGCCGCTGAAGAAGCCGAGGACTCCGAGGAGCACCAGGTCCCATACGGGTCCGGTACCTCATAAGGACCCTAGGGGGTAGGGTGGAGTGGGGTAGGGGGCCTTAATGGCTCCAGCACCTCTCTGAGAGTCGTTTTTGGGGAGACCCACAGGATCTGAGAAGTGCAGGGCACATGAGAAGGTCTCACCCAGGCCCATGCTCCACCGTCGCTGTCCATGCCTGTCGTCGCCGTTTTCTTTGCATGTCCACACAAACGTCATCAACCGCGACTGCCTGCGATTGCCGTTCGCAGTCGTGCTGGAAATGCATCGAAAGCCCCATCACCGGCTTGACCTGACCGTGAGCTACGCACCTTGGCAACCTTGAGCTGTGCTGCACTGCTTCAGGAGCTGACACTGTCCGAGGCCTGTCGAAATGCCACAATCGAACCCAACTCTGGGCAGCGAGCTCTCTGGCGTCAACGCTTTGACGGGAGATGCACAGTGTGGGTCAGAGATGTCCATGTCGCCTTCCTCGGCACTGAAGCCATCACCATGTCAGTTTCGAAGAGTTTCGAGACCACCATAGCAAAGGATGGCAATGATATGATTTACGATGGTTCTAGTGTGGGTTTCAGACACTGCCAAGGCTCATCGAAGACCTCGTCACTAAAGTGGAAAGGCTTCTGAGGCCAGTCATCCTTGACATCGCAATTAGCAGTGCAAGCCTAAGGGCGACCTGGCGTTTGCACGCGCTGCGGCCTGGCTTTCATGGATGCTGCTGAGATTGGGCTCCACTTTCCGAGACCATGTCATCGTGCGGCCTCGTGGCAGGCACTTGAAAAACGCTGACAAGCCACATTGAAGCGAGTGAGCTCGTGCTAGCTTCATAATAGCCGCCAGATGTAGTCCTGCCAAGTCTTGCCTGAGGCCACCGCCCAGAGATTCCGAGCCAAAGTGGAGTCGCAACTTTCCCAGTCCTCGTACGCACACGTCGCACGTCATGTCTCTGCACCCTCCACTCACTGGATCTAAATGGTCCGCCTTCTTCGGCTCGGAAGTCCGAGGACCTTGGAGATAATGCAGTCATATGCGGTCGAACGCAACATGCAAGAGACCTTTCGCAAACATAGCTCCCCACTGTCTTGCAGGCGGCCGCTCGACATCAAAAATGTCCAGCACAAGGTCCGACAAGGCCTGCAAGGAGCTTACGAGGAATTCAATCATCAGGGTCAACCTCAAACCAGACACCCACCCACCGTCCCCTATGGGCAGGGTGTCGACAAACATGACAAACGGAGACTTGCAAGTCGGGGCCTCACTGTCACTGTCCAGGCCCTTGTTGGAAGGCATTGCGCAGGTTGGTCGGACACGATCGAAAACCTTGCAGGAGGCTTAGAATGCTTTATTTTGTCACATGCGGATATGTCAAGAATACACAAATCGCCGCCGCCTCGTTCAGGAGAGAACCTGGCAATGCCAAAATGTTCATGCCGGATGCTCGGCGAAGGTATTGCAGCTTGCCTGGTAGGTCTTGCGACAAGTCGAACTCAAGCCCTTCGCCATCTTCCCGCCATTTGCAACCTGCCAGGATTGCCGGCTTGCTCGAACAATCTGGCTCAACATATCTTAGTATCCAAAAACGGCCTTCCAAGCCGGCAGCCATAGGCTGGAACGGGCTGCTGGGTCTTCCCGACAAAACCAAGCCGCCTTTTCTGAACAGCGCCAGATCTCATGCAATGGCTCAGGGCCAGGGACTCAGACTCAGAGCACTCCAACATCAAGGAAGGCCTGTGGGCTTCTTGTCAGCATGGCCCATTTGCACGGTTGCCTTGCTCATCCAAGGATGCAACAGCTCGGCTCCAACGTGTCTGCCAAGTCTTTAGATATTCGATCCTTTGCAGAATGATGCTGCGGCGGACCGAACCGATCTACAGCTCCTATGTGAGACCGAGTTCGCCGTACATTCATGGACATCTTAAACAGTAACGGCAAGCTGTGCCCCACTCATGTCCGCACATCCCGGCGTTGCCTCAAAGCACCTCGGAGTATCTGGTCGCACCACACGCTCCTGGCGCGGGTCGGCAGATAGAGAACGCCAGAGCGAAATCCAAGCGGACTGTTCCTCCGGCACCTTCTCACAATCAACAGTCTCAGGCTTGAAACTGAAGCCGGTCCTTGGTACTCGGAGCATGACAAGCCGGAAGTTTATCCGACTGGGAATGTCACCACACGTATGACGCAGAAGGTGCTGTTACAGAAGGGTCCATGTCGCCAGGTTGCATCTATGTTCGCTTGCGGCTGTGCATGCTAAGATTCATCGTGCCCTCTAGAAAAAGGCGATGCCTTGTCAAACCACGGAGCATCCGGCAACAAAGCAAGAATTAAGAACCCTTCGCTTAGACACTAAACTGCAAGCTCAGGCAAGCTTCTCGTTGAAAGCAATCCCATCCTTGTCATGACCACGAAGAGGCGACAAGTCAAGTGAACCCAGCCGGGAAGAGTCGGGGGCCGACTCCGTTACAGCAAAGTAGTCTTCCAGCACGCATCCGGCGAGGAAGCGCCGCGGGGTTCCGGGCTGAGACGAGTCCGACTTCTCCCAGCGAGTGAGATCGGCAGCTTTCGGCCGCACCCCCTGATCCAG